AGATAAAAATTCAACTATCTATACTAGTTTAAATATAAAGATCTCAGAGAATGAATTATCAGAAATGTTAGTGAATATACTGAATCAAATTAATTCAGCATCTGAAAATACTCAGAGATTGAGTGAGATTAATTTCAATAAATTATTTACTATAGTTATCTGAGCTTACAAAGAGAGATAGTATAATACACAGAGATAGAATACTTTTATTGAAAAATATAAAATCTATTATATCTGATTATCAAAGTATAGAACTGATAAAAGATTATATAAAATTAATATCAGATAAAAAAAAGAGAAAGAGAAAAAAAAAGTTAGAAAAAAGATCTATTTATATACAGCTCTAGTAACTACTGTAAAAGCTTTATTCAATTTCTAAAAATATAAAAATATTGTAAAATAAAGAAAAAGAAAAAAATATACATCAATGAAATATTCAAGCTCAATACTTTCAGAAACAATTTATATACAATAAAAATTAAAACTCAGTCTATATCAAGAACTTCAAGATCTCAAGATAAATATATAAAAATATGAAATATATCTTCATTTCATAAAGAGTCTGATATATTGATTCAATATCTTCAATGAAGAGATTTGCAGAAAACTCAATAAAACAATGAAAATATATATATAGAGAAAAATCAATCAGAATAAAAAAGAGTGAGATAGAAGCAGATAAAGTAATGAAATAAGTATCTGAATCTTTATAAAAATAAGTAATAAATATTTATTTAATAGAAAGTGAAGAAAGAGAAGAAAGAGTAAGAGTAGAAATAAAAGTAAAAAAGAATGAATAAATTACAAGATCACTACCGTGCTCTCAAGCGGCCTTGCAGCCTTCAGGGGAGACTCGGGTAGTCCAGTGGGGCATCATGGACGCCGTAGCCGAGCTGGATCGACTAGGAGTGGTACAGGATTCTCGCGTCATCAGCTTCTGTCAGAGAAGTTGGGCGATGATGACGATGGCGATTGGGATGATGGGGATTTTGATCCGGCTGCATATGCGGCTGCCCAGGCGGCTGAGGAGAAGAATCTACATAAGAAACAGATATATACTCACTCTGAGTATAAAAAAATACTATATTACTATTCAAACTACTCTGTATATATATATTTTTTCTACAAATAATTAATTCAAAAGTTATATATTAATATAAAGAATGATAATATTTATTTGATAAGCTGAAAATATATAAAGATAAGAGAGTAATATAAAAACTGATATAAGTGAATATAATACAGAAATCTTCATCTATTATAATCTTAATAATACAGAGATTCTGAATAATTTCATCTACAATAAATCAAAATAAAATTTATAAATGAAGAAGAGATTATTATATATACTCAGTACAATCTATTTGAACAACAGTATTTTCTCTGAAATATATAAAATTACTAAATATTTTGTACTTGCTTTAAGTAAAAGATGTAATCAATAAATAGCTAGTAAAATAAATTGTATTGTATAAAATTTATATATAAAAATATGTTTTTTCAGAAGCAGTGAATGCAGAAAAGAGATGTGAGAGATAAAAAGAAAAATTACTGAAGATATACAACATCTCTAAAAAAGCAGATGAAAGTAAAAAATCAGTATAAAAGAAAAGAGAGAAATTGATATAAGTAGAAGAGATAGAATTGAGAACAGCAGAGAAAATATAGATAGTAGAGAAGACAGAGACAGTAGAGAAGATAAAAACAGCAGAGAAGACAGAGATACAAACAGAGACAGAGAAAACAGTAACAGAAGATAATATAAAAATATTTATTATTATATTATTATTATAAGTATTATTACTACTGTCTATATTTACATCAGTGATCTCATCAACTGCTTCATCTATATTTTCATCATTAATCAAAACATTTATATTATTATTATTATATTCAATCTTTATAATATTGTCAGATGTGATCTTTTCAATAGAAGTAAGATTATATAAGAGAAGATTATTAGAAAAGAAATTTGAATAATTGCAAATTAGATATATACTCTGATGATGAGAAATAGAAGCTAGTAATAATTAATAACTGTAAGAGTTATTAATTCACAGTTAAATTAGTTTTCAATAAAATTTAATCAATAAAAACTTATCAGTAGATCAGCTGATATAACTAGAACAGTATAAATTGTAATAATCAGATATTATATTATAGAACAGAGAGAATTAGATAATTTAATAGAATAGAATAAATATATAGAATGATTGAAAATAAAACAGAGAAAATTGAATAAAGAGATATAAACAAATAAATAGAATGAGATAGTTGTGAATATAATATAATTAGTAATAAAATGATATTGTTGTGATAGAAATTCTTATATATATAAAATAAAAGTATCTTATTATTTTGAATTAGATAATACACAATTACAACAAGAGCTTGATGAATATATACTATAAATATTTCAGAAATAGTATATTATAAAAATAGATACAGACAGCAGAACACTGTTATAAGAGTATAGATAAATTTGATAGAGAAGAATATAGTAATTTCAGCTTATTATTTTTTCAGAGTGTATATTACTTTCTATTATCAAGAATAATGTATATTACTGCATTAGTTATTTCATATAAGAAGAGCTGCAAAGCTTAGAAGCTTTGAGAAGCTTAAGTAATCTTTAAATTACAGATAAACTGTCTGCTAGAATAGAAATTTTTAAACTTATAGAATTTTATAATAATTTAATCTATCATCTCTAAAATTCTACAACTGATAAAATAATTATCATCAGTGATATTATTTTCTCTGTAAAGAAATCTTCAATCTCACAGAATAATATTAATTATACAATACTCAAAGCTGTAAATTCAGTAATTTATCTTATTAATAATACTGCTGTTCTTAAATTAATTAATATTAAATAAATAAAATCAGCAAAAATATTTATTATCTATATTTCTTCTTCTCTCACTGATTTCATTCTGAAAAAATATAAGAATACTGTTAGTAGATATAAAGAGATTGATGAATATTGACAAAAGTCAATGAAATATAAGATTATAGATTTGAAATAAAAAAATATTTGAACAATGATTTCATATTCTGATATCTCTTCTAATAAATCAGTGGCTCTCAGCTGCTGAGTTTATATTAAAAAAGATTATTCTCAGAATCTCAATATAGATTCTAATAATATATTATAAAAATCTCAATAAATAGTATGCAGTAATTGATTAAAAAAGAGTGTATATGAAGAAATATATATATATCTATTGTCAATAACACTACTAATTATATAATATTCACAGTAGTAGTGAAATGAGATTAAATTTTGTATCAGATTAATATAGTTATAATTTATCTGTATGACTGATTTGATAAAATGATTTATATACAGCAATCTATTAGATTTGAGATGAAGACTTTATATACAATAGTTTGTATTATTGTAGACTCTCTATACTGATTGAACCTCACTGCTAAAATTTGATACAATTTTCTTATAATATTACTTCATAAAAATGATTTCAAATCTAGCTTCTATAATTCTACTCTATAATATCATATATTTCACAATCATCTTTATATAACAATCTATATAAATAATCTTTATATTATAGCAGAAGATTCAGCAGATGTCAATTGACTAGTTAATACTCTCATCAATAAATTAGAAATAAAAGATTTGAAAGAATCTTTAAAATACTTGAATATGAAGATTGAATATCACTCTGATGATATTATAAAATTGATATTGAGACACTATATTAATTATTTAGTGCAAGATTTCTGTCTAGATAATATCATCTCTATCTCTATATCAATATTTAAAAGAATGAAAATAGATGATGTCTCTGTATCAGAATAAGAAGAAGAATTTATTAAAGAATAATATTAATACAGAGTAGAGTACTTACAGTATCTGACAGTTAAATTACACTCAGATATTATACAAACAGTATCTCTACTAGTGCAGAAGAATACTGTATCTATATTTAAAATATAAAAAACTCTTCTCTATATCATACAATATCTAAAAGAAATAAGCAATCTAGATATTTTATACAAAGATCTTAAAAATAAAATTAATGAATTTCTCAATACATTATATTTACTGATAGATTATACAGATTCAGATTGAGCAGAACTGTTGAATAGTAAACACAAATCTATTTCAGATTTTATATTCAAATTAACAGATACATCAATTTTATAGTATTCATTCAAACAATCTTATATTTCTTTAAGTTTAAATGAAACAGAATATATGGCACTCAGTAAAACAGTATGTAAAGTAATATAATTACACAATATAATAATAAAACTAGAATTTATTACAGCAAAGAATCTCTTATTCATCAGAACAGATAATAAAAATTTGATTAATTTAGCTATTATTACTGCAATCACAGCACACAGCAAATATATCAACACTCACTTCCACTATTCTCACATATAACTGAATAAAGACATTATTTCAATTAATCATATTTTCACTGAGAATATAATAGCAGATGAATTAATCAAATCTCTGAGCACAGTGATATTTAGATGTTTCATTAAATTACTAGGACTTTTCACTGACAACAGTGAGAATGATTAAATTTCTGTATGTAGCATGTTTTTGAGATGATCTAGGTTAAGATAGCTAGCATGGAATATTTGTAGGAACACATCACGCATGTTGGCGCGTGGGGGGGTGTTGGGCACTAGTTGCCCAGGTGGCCCTCCACCGCACGTGATTACCCCTATATAGTTAGCTAGCGATCGCACAATGAGAAGATTAACCATCCCACAGAACCAAACAACTTAACTGTGTTGGGCACTCCACCGCACGTGATAAACTCTATAACACTATCTAACTCTAATCTAACCTCTTTCACCATTGTGACAAGATATTTATAGGATCCTGGAGCGGTATTATAATCCATAAAATGTTTATTTTCGACAATTTTGACAATTGATACATGGTAGTTGAAGTGCTGTATGGGCACGGCATCCTAAGCCATTCCATGTATTGTCTTAACTAGCGATGAGAGTGGACAATGTCGATTGCACAACTTCCTCCAGATACTATCAGGGCAGTAAGGTCAAACTCTGTGCTCTCCGACCCATGCGCCCTTGCAAAAGAGCTTATCGATAACAGCCTTGATGCTGGAGCCACCTGCATCTCAGTTGAGGTGGCAGCTAACACACTCGATACCATTCAAGTCAAGGACAATGGCACTGGCATCCATCCGAATGATCGTCCTCTGGTTTGCAAACGTAGCTGTACTAGCAAACTTCGAAGTATTGATGATTTGGAAAATATCGGTGGAAGCACTTTGGGTTTCCGAGGAGAGGCTCTCGCGAGTGCTGCTGAGATGTGCGGTAACATAGCAATAACGACAAGGGTATCAGGAGAGTTGGTTGGGGAAACTTTGAAATACGATCGTACCGGGCTACTTATTAGGTCTGCTCTGCTTCCAACAAAAGATACTTCAAGTATTCTTGTAGATCAGTTCTGACTATGCATTCAGCTGTACCAAAGCTTCTCATCCAACAGGCACGACCGTTCGTGTATATGAGTTCTTGAGATTTGTTCCTGTTCGGAAACAGAGAGCGCTGAAGAGTGCTTCCAAAACACTCAACCGAATGAAGAAGGTTTTGAATGCATACGTGCTCTCTCGCCCTGAAATTCGACTCTCATTTAAAATCCTAAAGAGCAAACATGATTCTAGCTGGATATATGCGTCCAACAAACATCCAACAGTTTCCACTGCTATGTTAAGAGTTATTGGTGCAGAAGCAATTTCGCAATGCACAACAATAACGTGGCCGCAAATTCAAGATGAGAGAGATGATTCCTTGCCAGGATCTGTGGAAAGAAGTGAAAGCATTCATCCAGTGATCCGACTTGTCGCTACAATCCCTAAACCTTGTTCTGGTGAGTGATGTCTTGTTCTGTCACCGATGATCCGCGTGGCTAATTCGTCAGACTTCTCTTCAATTAATTATGCTGGCCAGTATGTTTCCATTGACAGACGGCCTATGTCAACATCCAATGGCGTTGCGAAGGAGCTAGCTGAACTGTTCAAATCCCATATTCGTTCTGGATCCCTTTGCGATAGCGGCCGAACACCACCAGTGGATCCGTTCTGTTTTATACATCTACATTGCCGTCCCGGCATCTACGATGTGAATGTCGAGCCATTGAAAAATGATGTCCTTTTTGAAGATTCGAAACTGGTGATGTCCATTGCAGGAAATATATTCAAAGCCGTATATGGCGAAATCAAGCCGAGACATACACATCAGAGGAATTGTCAAATCGAAAACCAACCGTCATCCTCTCGGATGATACGACCGCTTGACAAGCGGTCGGCTAACAATCAACGTGACCACGAAGTCGAGGAATCTCCATTATTTCGGCATATCTCGAGCTCTGCGACCAAAGATTGCCATTCCATAGAACGCATTTGTGCCAGCCCATCAGAGGCGAAGAAAGACAATATGTCAGCAGGAAGTTTTGTCGACACTAGCGCCTGTCCACGAGCGGCCGAAAGCAACCTCAGCCTTTTGAATAGTTCACTACTGACCAACCCATGGATGCTTGCCAAAGGGCAACCTGTAACACCCCGGAAGGAAGACACACAGTCCCGTGACTTAAATTCTCAACTACTCACCCCTGCGTATGAAGATGGGCGTTCTCGGTTAGATGAAAAAAGGATAAAAAATTGTGAGGCGAATTCTGTGCTTGCTGGCCCCCCATACCCCATACCCCTTTCTACACGAACACTTGAGACGCGTTTGGTCGAAGGCGACTACGACAAATCTTCGACAGATGTTAGAAAGCCACAGATGAGCGAACTGTGCAATGTACCCCAACTCTCAGCTAGCCATAAAAGCAAACAAAGGAAGTCACCGGGAGTGCTGGGCAGCCTGGATGCCTGGATAAGAAATTGCCGAGATGCCCCTAGTCCTTCTACTGAGGAAAGCCAAGTTGTGGGGATACTACAACAAAGCGAACCCGATGGAAATGAACTTACAGAAACTGATATTGCAGGGCGCTTTGGTAAAGAGGACAATGCTGCTGCCACGAGCCGGAGTCATGGAGATTTTTCAGCAGGGCTATCACCACATACATCACTAAATGCCCTAGGTATCCATCTGAACTCTGCTCATACTAACGCAAAGAGCCACGCTCAGCCATTAGCGATTTCCCAAGAGGAGGATGATGATCCGGATTATCGGATTCATGGGTCGACTGACAATCGTCTAACTTCTCCGTCACACGAAATGGTAGCTGGGGCACTAGATTTCGAATACCGGAAGAAAACCGCTATCCAACTTCACAGGAAAAGACAGCAACAGCAGCAGCAACAGCAGCAACAGCAACAGCAAGTCTCAACTCAGTCGGCCTTACATCCATGGGTGGGAGCCAATAATGCTAAAATATCACAAGGTTCTCCACATCAAAATCGATACCGGAGAGCCAAAGCCCATTTAGTCAATCAGTTGCCAGAGCTGGAATTTCCCAGACATGAGATAACATTTTCGCCGTCCAAAATGGGTTCAGAAGATGCTAGGGAATATTTGATGCGCCAAAATTGGCCAACACAAATCGGCTTCAAGAGTAGACGTATACTAACAAATCAGCTACCATTGGAGGTGATACCAAGTGCATCTGCACTCCATGGACTCGCTCTTTCCTGGACGAAGCAAGATGATGAAGCGTCAATACCAAATAAAGAACTATTAAAAATAGATGGATACGTCACATCAGGCATTGTGCCTCCGCCCTCTGCATTTTTTGAGGTTAACCCTGCGGATATCAACATCTGGACCACCCGGTTGCTAGCCCTAATCCAAGAACAATATCGATCCGAAATTCTAGATGAGGACTGGCGAATCCAACTCGTTTTTGATGCGATTCCAACATCACATGCAAGAGCATCATAAAGTTAGAAGCTTGCTGGATTGCAATCATCCAATTTAACCTCGCGAGTTTCAGCATTGTCTAATGCCTGCGCCTCAGTTTTTCGATTGTTTCTCTTACCTTCGTCGTTATGTTATCTGCATTATCATAGCTCAGTATAGATTCTACTTGATGACTTGTTAATCTGAGATTATTGTCTCATTAATCTGTGGGATTTTCCCCCTTCAAGTCAAATTTTAAACTTTTTTGTCGTCATCTATTTAGAAAAATTCTGCTCTACCCATTCAACCTGGAGTACCCCGGATAAACTCCAAGCCCCACGGTCAGCATGAGGAATGTGAGAGATTTGAAGGTTGTTGTGGATTACCGAGTTGCACTGTACTTTACCCCTCCAATGAAAACTCGACCCACCCTGAGTATCTTGATGAAAACCATGGGGCGAGCCCTCCGCCGCTGCCCTCAGTTAGTTGCCAATCAAAACTTAAATCCGAGCACTTGGACAATTAAAGCTAAGGAAGTAGTATCTGCGTCTTAGATGTTCTGAAAGTGCGAAAATATTGAGATTTGTCTTTAATCCCTCAAGGGAGGGAAACTCGCAGGCCAAAATCCTTCTTATGTTCCCTACGTCCGGGTTTACCCTGAACATATGTCATTAAGGCAAATTTCCAAATGTGGAAACAGGAAACTTAATATCCTTTGCCCCGAACTCGGGTCAGGTCTAAATCGCCGATTTGACCAAGCAAGTTGAACTATTTCTCAGCTTTCTGGAAAAAAAAAAAAAAAAAAAAAAAAGGGATTATAAAAGAGTTCGTAAATGGCCAGAAAGGCTTGTGAAAATCCGAACTTCCCCCTTCCTACGCTTGGAACGAAATGCAAAGCCTGACATCAAAACAACATCAATAAATTCTGATGACAGGTGTCGTTCCCTATCATATCCTATCAAACTTCAAATACTTCCATAACTATCTTCACAATACATTTCCGCTGAAACCACCCCTATAAAAGGACCATGGCGGTTACGACAACGAAACAGCTCCAGGGAACGCCTAAGGCTCAACCTGTAAAGCAGACATGGAGGCAGCCATCACATCCAGATACCATCGCAGTCCGGTCTTCACCTGCTCTCGCCTCGAACTCAGATGCTTCTACAGGACCCTCTTTCAACCTCACTGCAGTTGCCAGCATGGATATCCCGGCCAATTCGCTCATCGCGGAAAACACGTCCACCACTCTCGCCTCAGAGAAGGATTACTCCACCGTTCAAATCTCGGCAACGCATCATATCAGACTGAACTCGGATCTACTGTACTGCAACCATTCGTGTGACCCAAATGTCCGCTTCGTAACGTCCACGCTTTCTTCACCTGACGTCGGGTTGGAAGAACCTGTTGCCGGTGCAATTGAGGTCTGGAGCACGAGGGACATTCCGGCCGGAGAAGAACTGCGTTTTTTCTACCCAAGCACCGAGTGGGAGATGGCGCAGCCGTTTCACTGCTCTTGTGGAGCGGAGAATTGCCTGGGTTTGGTTGATGGTGCGAAAAATGTCCCGGTAGAGGCATTGAGGAGATATTGGCTCAGTGGACATATCGAGTCTCTACTGAATGAAAAGCATAGGCCGAATTGATTCTCTAAAACGCGGGATTTCCTTATTTTTGGAACAAGGAGAGCATGAGCAAATAATATTCTTTGATTAGAGCGGAGGGTACTTTCCGCTGAGTCTGCTCTTCAGAGGTATGAACATAGACAGGAAGCGAAAAAAGAGAAGCGCCAGGGAACATATCATTTTATAACCGAAAGGTCAGCTAGACACAAATATATTCTGAGGAAAAACGCCTCCAGCATATCCGAATTACGAAGTATTGCACAGATGTGGTCCTGGCTATAGCAGAATTAAAGAAAGGCGGTTTCCTTCAATCGCCGGTGTACTCATTACTACGTTTCTCCATACATCATGGCACAGGTAAATGAAATCAACATGATCGCTCTAAAAGCACTAGAAAATCGTGCAAAACTTGAGTTAATGAGAAGTCAAATGGGTCCTAGTACAGTATTTGTGGTTTCGTTCCGGTCTTCATCCACCATGGCGAGGACGAAAAGCTCAAGATTTGAGAAAGACCGGGTTCATGCCATGACAATTCCACAAGCTCGGGAATGGTTTAAAAAAGGCAACTAATTCATCAGATTATTGTCTGTTGCAAATATGAAATAGTTTGAACTGAAAACCTGGCATGGTTTGAAAAGGTTGGATGAAGAACCACATCATATTATTTGAGTTTAGAACAGTCGATCTGGTTTCAAGAATGATTTTGATTCACTTACTCTGTACATTAACCCAATTTGGCATCTTATAGCTGGTTGAGTGAACCCTTGAAGGCGCTTTACATTTTGGAGGCGTGGAAGAGAAACAATAATCGTCTGCTGACTCAGCTCGATTGCGCGAGTGGCAAGGAGAGTCCATGACATCATCTCATGAAATCTATGTTTACGTTGAAAATTCAAGTTGTCAATCAAACTGCTATGGCCGGCAATTCGATTGCGAAACACGGGTAATGCCCTCTTCCATCTCAATTCCGAACAGCAGTAACAGCAATGTCGCCTCCCATTCCGGTCACCATAATCACCGGCTTTCTCGGCGCGGGCAAAACAACAATCATCCTTAATCTGATCCGCCAAGTACCCCCAGACTACCGGCTAGCTCTTCTAAAAAACGAGTTTGGGGATCTGGCCGTGGACTCTCAATTAGCGTCTGCGAACTCCATTTCCGGCGTCCGCGAGCTTCTCAACGGATGCATCTGCTGCAACCTCGTGGGACAACTGGGCGACGCCCTCCTCCAACTCTGCGATGAAGTAAATCCAGACCGCATCGTCATCGAGACGAGCGGCAGCGCATTCCCCGCCACGTTAGCAATGGAAGTGAACCGAATCTCGCGTGAGAACGATGGCAAATTCGTATTAGATGGGGTCATCAGCGTGATAGACGTGGAGAACTGGGAAGGCTACGATGACACCTCATACACGGCGAAGTTGCAGGCGAAGTACACGGATCTGATCATTTTCAATAAATGGGAGGACGTACCGGAGGACCGGTTTGATGTGTGTTTAGACCGCGTGGCAGATCTGGAGCTTGATACGGCCTGGGTAAAGTCTGCAAAGGGTTTCGTGGACAAGGACGTCTTGTTGGGAATTGATGGGGCGTTGCTGGCCAAGGAGATATCTGATCGCGGACATGCTTCATTGGATCTTGTGTTGTTGAACGGAATTGATAATACGGCGGCTAAGGAGGCTTATGTGCAAGAGCATAGTCATGGGCTTGGTGAGCCTCGGGAAAATGAGCATCAGTCCGAGGTGGACGTGCTCTCGGTTTCGCTTACCAGCTCTCAGCCGTCCGACACTGTCAATACGGAGGCATTTACTACGCTCCTCTTATCCGCGCCCAAGGATGAGGTCTACAGGATAAAAGGCATTATCCAATTCCCGGCTGATTCACCTCCGGAAGACTCGTCAGGAGAAAAGGCTCAGGCGCCTACACCAAAACCGACACCAGCACCCATAAGGGACGAAGGAAATGGAAATGTTGATGGAGTTGTCGCACCTGAGAGAGGAACAGCCACCATCAAGACGCAGAATTACATCCTTAACTGGGCGTTTGGCCGATGGACGTATACTCGCTCTCCGGCTTCCATAGGCAATGCTTCTAGCACTAGTAAAGAAGGCGCAAGAACGGTACCTCCCGAAAGCGCCATAATTGCATCTATGACACTCATCCTTGCCAGAGGTGAATCTCATAAGTGGACGCGGAAACTAGAGAGTGAAGGGCTGTTGGAGGTCGCAGGTGACTCTGCAGAAAATAGGCGGGGAGTGACAAAGGTGGAGCGGCTTGCTTGATGCGTTGATGTACAGGTTGACAAGGGGCAGGGAGGGGTGACAAGATATGAAAGTTTACCTGATGTATGTACATACATACAACGAGAAGCGATCTCAAGCATATTATTGCATCTATTGTATATATTTTTCGTATATAATTATCTATATGTTGGAAGCCAAAAGCAGCTGGATTTCATAGAAGTTTGGATAGACAAAACAGGGACAAGGGTAAACGGGGGAAAGTCTGATATACACTTACAAAATTTATCAAACATCAAATGAAGGATGCATCCTTATTATTCATTTTTACAACATCTTACTCTTCCCTAATGAGATTATGTAGTTGAGTTTTGTCCCCCATTCCCACCCAATTGGCCGCCCTCGCTATTGTATCACAGCATCTACTTTCTGATATATATGTGTGGGCGTTCCAACGCGCCATCCCCCATTCCGTAAAATTTCAGCTTGCTGCGTGGGTCGTTTAGAAGGAGTGAGAAAACGAAGCTTTATCGCGGGATAAAGTTCTGAGAGAATCAGTGCGCGACAGGAATACCAATTTGCAACGAGCCCACATATCTCTCTAAGTACCTTACGATATACCATGAAGAATTGAAACGTGGATGCAAATCAGTATGGCAAGCGTTTCTGAATTGGGAATTGTGTAGTTCGTTAAAAACCCTGGTGGTAGGAGGAAAGTAACGGGCGGCGGGAAGAAAATGTGCAAAGTCATTGTGCTTCCATCACCCTCCCGAAAAGTTTGCTCGTTAGATGGTGGAAAAGAAAACCACTTTTAAGTGGATGTTCTATTTCTTTGGATGTTTGTTAAAATAAATCATATAAATAGCTTTGTGTTAGGCCACTGGGGCAAAAGCGCTCGATCACCACCAGCGCCATGTTGACAGTAGGGGGAACGGGGACGAACTAATCCAAACCCCCAACACTTTGTAAGTAAAATCGTTAGTGTAATAGATTTGGAAGAATGTGATCAGTTAGCCACTATTTGCTTCTGTGGTGAGCTTCTCCCGTGAATAGTATATTATCCGTGCTTGAGACGCAATTATTTCTATAGAAGGCATAAAGGATGCGGGCAGGGTAAACGGAAAAAGCAAAAAGGAAAATATAAATAGAATGCGAAACTCCATTTTTTCTCTGTACCTGAAACTTAACTATGATTATTTAAAGAAAAAAAGTAAATGGTTTGGATGGAACAAGAATAAAACAAGCAAAAAACAAAGTATATCGTCCAGAGATCTAACAGGAAAAAATATCAAGATAGTTGGGAAGAATCAAAAGGTTAAGTCTGTTTTTAAATAGAAATATATGAAATATTGATTTTAGTTAGAGGCTTTCCCCACAAAAAAATGCTCAGTTCCCCATGGTAGAATATAAGAAAGCAAGAGTAGCGACTCCCGCTCCACAGTGCTTGTTTCCGCCTTCTTTCACTTAATTTTTCTTAGTTCGATTAGCCGATACACTGTTCTGAAAGTCAGTCTGAGTACCCCAGTAAAGCAGTAGCACTCGGTTCAGTAGAGATGTAAATGACTTCGTGTTTGTCGGTGAACCCATTGAAGCACGTTGCGCTGCATTTAGTGTACGCGCCCATGTTTTCGAAATAGAGCCAGTTGCCGACGTCCAGGGCTCCCGGGAGGGTGATGCGTTCTGTGATTAGATCAATACCATCACAAGTCGGACCCCAGATTGAATACTCGATGGGTGTGCAGACTGGGCTTTCCATTGTCAGGATCTGCGGCACTGGATGCTGGTGATCAAAAATGATGTTAGAGAAGTTGCCGTAGACACCATCGTTCAGGTAGATCATGTAGGCCTCGGTGGCGCTGCTCGTGGATTCGGAGTCAGACATTTCCAGACTGACGTCGCGGCGTGCAATCACGTTGGCAGCCAGTGTGAACGCTGAAGCAACATAGTAGCGTCCAGGCTCAGCGATCACGCGGATATGGGGAGGGAAATGCTCATCAAGAGCGTCACCGAGGGTAGCTGCAAAGCGCTCAAAGGTATCTTCAGAAAATCCCCCACCGACATCCAGGACTTTGAGATCGAATCCAACTTCAGCAGCCTGGTCAAATACGTAGCGGGAATCCTCCACAGCCTTGACAAATGACCTAGGGTCCTCGGCTCCTGACCCGACGTGGAAGCTGACACCAATGACATTGAGCTTGAGTTCCTTGGCTAGCTCAAGCAAAGAGCGCGTAATGGAAAGGGAAGCTCCGAATTTCATGCTCAAGCGGCACAGACTGGCGGAGTCATCCGTCAAAATGCGGAGATACAGTTCTGCTTCGGGGCACATTTCCTTGATCTTGTACAATTCATCAGAATTGTCAAATGTCATCTGCTTGACACCCACCTGGGAAGCGTAGCGGAGATAGGACTTTGTTTTGCACGGCTGCGCATAAATGATGCGGCTCGGGTCGACACCAGCACCAAGAGCACAATCGATCTCTGCTTTCGACGCACAATCGAAACCATTGCCCAGGTTCGCCATGAGACGCAAGACTTGAGGGTCAGGGTTGCATTTGACAGCTGGGAATGAAATTCGTCAGGATCCTGTGGTTTCGAATAAATGAAACACAGTACGAAAAAAAAATGACGAAACATACCATAAAAAGGCTTCACGCGTCCTAAATTCTTCTTCCAACGGACATGCTGGCGGTAAACCTGACCCAAATCCGCAATATAAAAAGGGTCCTCCTCGCCAGGGTGGCAATTGTGAATATCAATCTTTGCGACTTTCTCCTTCAGGATCTCGAAGATCAGATCCTTGGATGCTTCTCGGGCTTGAAACAAATCGAACCCGCCATGATTGCTGGAAGTCTTGTAATTATTACTATCGTCAGGGTAATTTCGGCTCACATATATATCATGGGGTACGAAGGCAAAAGGGGCCATAACCATCCAAAAGGCGAGATGTCGAGTTGGTAGTGGGTATTTGGTGGGTTGTAGGATGCCAAGGGTTAGATATATATTTGTGTGTATACAAATAAACTCTTCTTTCCCTTACGATGGATTGATGGATATTTTAACAGATGATGATGAATAATTGGTGTTAGGGCGGTCGGAATGTCTCAACACAATCGAAATTGACTGGACCTAGCCTCCTCGACTCCTCCTCCTGAAGAGGAAGAACCTGTAGAGAAGTCCTATGCGGCAGCTTAATGTTCTGGCGAACGAGGAGGTTGTGCGCTGAGGGATCAACGAACACAAACGACGGGAGCCGGAGAGCTGCTTGGCAGAGAGCCCAGTGCGTTAAGAAGATGGAAACGCTGCTGAAAGGTTGGAGGGGAAAGGGAGGACGTAAAGAAGGCTCGGTGGCTTCGGAAGCCGTTGTGGGCAAGATACCTTTGGGGTGTTCGTCCCAAAGGTGTGGGTTCTCCTGAGGAAAAAATTGGTCTGGGGTGGGCAAAGATAGGGCTGGAGTGAATTGCACGTATTCCGTTAGCATGGCAGACTCTTCAGAAAGAGGAGCGGCAGCAGAACGCAGTGCAACGGGGGAGAAATCATAGCATCATGAACAGCACGCAGTCACACGGACTTGTTTTACGCGTGCCACAAGACGGGAGCCCGTCGTAGACTCGTAGAAGGGAACGGCTTTGAGGGAAACTCACATTTCGAGCAGACACTTGACTTAGCAAGACGATCGGGAGCGGGCGATGGGCTAGACGAGTATATTTATATATTTATATGTATAAACACACATGCAGTCGGCACAGACTGAACGAATCGAGGGATAGGAGTTTGAAACAGCTGCTGTACAGTGTTGTGCGGGTGTTGTTGAGTTGGTGGTGGAGGAGGGTGAGGGAAAAAATACGGGCGGGAGTGGGACAACAGCCCAGTTTTTGTGCGTGACGAGGTTTGTGCGGGAGCGAATAGCGCCGCCGAGCCGCCGCCACCACTGAATGCCCAAAGCTACTCCAGCCTACAGTGAAACCCTGAAGAACCAAAAAACAAACCATTGACTACGCAGGATTTACGAATAACAGGCCAGCAGCAAATAAAATCCAGACTGAACTGGACCATGTCTCCAGCCAGCCCGCAAAACGGTGTGCCCTAGCTCGATGCGCCCTGGAAATTGAGAACTTTATCATTTCACGGTTCCCTTGCCTTCTTTGGCTTCCTTGCCCCTCCTCCAGTTCTCGAGGCCCCGAAGGGTCTTCAATCCGCCTCCTATATATGACTAATTGATGCGCCTGTTTTCGCCCTGCTTCACCAGTAAGAAGACCGAAACAGCCCGCAGAAATGAGGTACACTAAAATATGCTCGTTCCCAGACGAGGAGATACTTGAAAACGAGGAGAAAAATAATGGGTGGGATCATCAATGAATTATGGGTAATATTTTTTGGGACATATTATTGACGTGGCAGTGGGAAAGCAACAATGTCCCGTTAACGCAAACTCAGTCTCGATAATGCTGGTGTATATGCAGGAAAGTCTGGCAGCAAGCATCTGTAGGAGTTTCTCGATTCGAAATACAGGCCCATGCTGGAACTGGCATCTCTTGAACATTCCCTCTCAATAATCGGCATATGTAGCACTTGCAGCTGCTATGCAGGATGCCGAGGCGACGATCAACAGGAGCAAAGCTGCAGCCAGTATCACCTCTGCTGAGATATGCTTCACTTCTCCCCTTTCCTATTCGTTTGTTCAGCTCCTGCTAAAAAAAATGGGCCTCTCAATCCTAGGTTGCCGCGGGGTGTGCAGACTTTGATCCGTATTGTTGCAGGCAGCCACACAGAACAAAAAACAACAACGAACAGGGAAAAAAAAAAAAAAAAGGACACACTCTCTTCACCATTGCAAACTCCATGCCGCCGTCGTTTATGTAAGCTGCGAGAATGGAGCGGTGAGTCGCAACCCACCGGGTTACAGTTGAACGTGGTTTATTAAAAGTTGGACGTGGTTTAAAAAAAGTGGGTCTGAAAAATAAACCATGCTCAGTCCTCACTCTGTCACTAAAATGTATACACACTAAGCATCTTTTACACACCCTCTCTGTATATTACTAATCAGCTCTTATTTAGTCCTACTTCAAAATCTGAGACTCTTCAACATCTGAAAAGCAGTTATGAGTTAGAATTCAGGTTAGCTGAGAAATAGAGCTCTGAGAAATATGATAAAATCACTGTGTCTGATGCATTCAAAGATGTGTGGGAGATATGTGGGAGATATGGCTAGCACGTGTAGTTTTAATGGGGGGGTTGACATGGTTTATAGTCAAAACCACGCCGAAGGTTATTCCAGCCCGAAAAATTAACCATGTTCAACTTTTTATTAACCACGTTCAACTGTATGCCCGCAACCCACAGCCGATGTTCCATTTTCTGGTAGTGACGATTCCCGCAAACCTCCGAGCTCTCTAGCTGTGCTTTCTGGCCTTGCCCTGCAGTCGTCGTGGCCCCAGCTCTGGCAATTCAGAAGTCAACAAATAAACAAGGGGTGCACCTCCACTTTATATATGAGGGATTTTCTGGTCCGCAGAGAAGTCAGTCGCCAGGCTTGATCATTAACTATTGTCTTTCATATGCTGTAACCTCAAATTCGGCTATTTTTTCTTCTTTCTCCATTGTAATGCGAATACGCCAACCACTCTCGCATCTTCAACTATCTACTGGGGAATCTTTGCAAAACGCATAGAGCTCGATGTCGACCGATTTATATCCTGAATCAAGACTTGGCAGTGGGGAAATGGTGCGGCTATCAATTTCAAACCCTGTGTTCTTCATCAGGTCAAAGAACACCTCCTCGCTATCGTGCCGTTTTTTCAAAGCCACCAGCACAATCGCACCAGGAGAAATTTGGACCAGTGCTGTAAGCATTTGGACCAGGGCTGGGAGGCTGTCCGCATTATAAGTACAATCCGAAACAACAATTAGATCATAACCATGCTCAGCAATTTCGTCTGGCATAGATTCATCCCAGTCAAGGACATGGAATTGAGCGGTGGAGAATCTGGCAAAAGTGGCATATTTCAAATTGCGGCCGATGATATCCCGGACCTCTTCGAGGTCGGTAAGCACCACCGAGCACTGAGGTACTATCTGGGCGATTGCGAGTCCGACAATCCCGCACCCTGCGCCTAGCTCGATGACGCGAAGTGGCGTGTTTTTTCGCTCATAGAATAGTTTTTGAAGTGTAGGAATTGATCCTCCTAGGCGCATATATGCGCTCTGAAGTTCCATCACACATCCCAGCGCAGCGTCCCTGTATTTTTGTAGATGTTAGATGACGTTTTGTGAGTAGTTATGTGTAAAAGATTTGCCAGCGGACTGATTAAGGGGAAAAAACAAAAAACAAAAAAAAAAAACAAAAAACAAAAGGGCCTTCCTCACTTACCATATATGTCGGGCGATACTATTACCTGTCTCTTCCCAAGCCCTCAACTCTGGTCCAATTTCGAGCTTAAAACATCGTTCAACCAGCTTTTCAGCCTGTGGGCCATAACTCCCCCCAAAGTCAGCACTGCAAGCAGTAACAATGCTGGGCGCCTTAGACGGCTCCAAGCGGTCGACCAGACCAGCATTGGCGTCCCTCACACTGAGTCTAGCAGCTTGATTCACATCGGAGATCGGACACGGCCCGAAAGCTATCTTGAGCTCTCGATTTCCAGCTTTCCACTTGAATACCTCGTCGAATGAGGTTGTTAACTCGTTGTTTTTGGTAAATTGCAATATGGAAAGAAGTTCAGTGTCTTCCGCAAGGAATGTATCCCCCAAATCTGTCGTGATGGTGATCAATGCTTCAACGAAGCATTGGCTCTTAGGAGACACCACTATTTTGGGGGTTTTGAGAAATCGGATGTAATGGGGCATAGTTTAAAGTGGTTGTGGAAACATTAGTATTCCTGGGGAACGGGTGCCTGATATAGAGCTATTCTTATTTTTATTTATTTATTTATTTGTTTTTTTTTTTTTTTTTTTTTTTTTTTTTTTTTTTTTTTGGAAATCGTTTGCCATACGCGCCTTTTTTTTTTTTACAGCAAATTTCAGTAGGTTGTATGGGATAATATGTCTGACATTGAACAGATGTTGACGCACAGAGTATCATGTCCTAACTCCACATCTTCCTTTAGATTGCCAACCCCACTGCATTTAAAAAGAAATAGAGAAACAGTAAAGGAAGCTAATCATTTGTTGTGATCCTAGTGGAATTGCACACAACAAGAAGCCTTGGTCTCATCAGCCAACAAATATGCAAACAAGGCAAACTTCTGGAGAGGCTGAAAAGGCGACCATTTTTGATTCTTGACGACTTTCAATATCGTGGCTGTGATGCACTTCCTCGATGGTCGATGAAACTGAAATTCTGTAGGAAGGGCAAGTATTTACAAACTAGCATTCTAGCTTACCAACATCTCCTCCCCGCTACCATCTTATTACTCAACCGTTCAGGATTTACTCATTCAGCCCTTTGAATGCTGCACAGCGTGTTTGCACGCTAGTATGCGTTGTTGGCCAGCAGCATCTCTCTAGCATTTTTGTCCTTTGTTTTCAATTCTCGAACAATCTTGGGAAAATACGATTGGCAGCCGCACGGCATGTCCTTGGAGACCCTCGTATTGTTGATGTTCTCCTGCAATGTGCATTCAGGGCTGATAATTCTCGAGTGTCGCCCTCCAGTTGCCCAGTTGCCTGGTTGCCTGATTGCCTGATGGCCCACGGGCAATCAGCAAGACTGTCTTTCGTCCAACTCTGGAGACCACATTTTCAAGGCCCCCACTGAGAAGGAGACTGTTCGCCGATAATAAATATACGACATTTTGACTCAGCATGCTCAGCTCTGCCTGCAGAATCGAACTCCCTCTGGATCCTTCAATGGGCCCAGAACTGCTGCGCTAGCCCATCAGCCCAATTGCCGTTGTCAAACAATCGAATACAGGGCGCCTTCAACTTCAAAAAGCTCGACCGAATCCACCCCACAAAATGTCTGTTCGTTTGAACTTCATTCTTTGCCCGAGTGAGGACCTAGTGATGTCAACAGTTCTAGATTCTTACGTACGTAGTTATCAACTCAATAACTAGATACCAATATACTGAATAATATTGAAAACAGTAACTAGTTGTTGGGATTCATGGCTATGTAAGCACCATGAAAAGCCCTTGAAAAGTGGTGCCAGAAAAGAGAAAATTAGACTAAAATCAATCGTACGTCTTAGACGCATTCTTGAAAAGCTTCTACATTATGAGTATAAGCTCAACTTCTGCTCGCCACATGGCGCGATGTCGGTTTATATAAACAATGGAGAATGCACTTCGGTTCGCACAACATAATGTATTTCGGAACCATGCTCAGTCCAATGCCGGATTTGGAATCGCCTGTCCATGCCCCAGAGGTCTCGCATACTCTGTGTTTGGAATTCGGAACCAGTCTGGGGAGCATTCAATTTCTCGGAAAGAATGGCACCTGGACCGACTTCAACGCCACCTAGAAAAGTCCCACCGACTTAATTCGAAGAGGACTTCAAAAGAGAACTAGGAGATTTTATCCAGTTGAGCAAACTAGTAGTATTTCATGTCCCCAGTTCTTCAACAACCCAGAGAAATTGGGAGGAGTCGTCCCGAGTCTGCAATTTGACCCATCGATACTTTAGCCATAGAATTCCAAACTATCCTGCGTAGACTCTGGGTAAACTTAAGCCTCAATCGCTCGCGGCTTCTTTCGATATTCGCACCATTCCACCCTGAGACAGTAAAATTTCTGAATGAGGTTGGTCTTCTGCCAAGAAGGTTTGAACTCCGGTAAATAAAACGCACCCACAAAATAGCAACTCGGCAGCATTACTAATCCACCTCTCTCCATTGGGATCTGAGAAACAGAAAAGAAACAGTGGTGGAAGAGATTGAAATAGATTTAGCCAGTCCTTCCGCCTTGATTCACAGAGGGGAGCCCCGCCAAAGGCTTTCCAGCCGAAGTTTTGATCGAACCCGCCAATTTTATTGGTCCCTGACGTGCTCATCACGTGGTACATTAGCTAACTCGCCGCCCATTGAGTTTAAACCATAACCAACTAACCCAAACAAGGCTTTTAAACGCTACTTTCTGCCCCGTTTGCAAGTTCCATGACGCTACCGGTCGACGATGATCTTGCATACCCCAAAGTTACCACCTCTGTTGAACGAAGCTATCGTCGTTTGGCAAAGCGTAAGATGCTATTCGACATACCCTTGCACTGCGATTTGAATATCGAGCCCACACCACATTTGCTGACGGTCGCTCAATGTGGCCGCAGCCCCTGCGGTTCGTCTGATCTTTCTACGACGTCACTTGGCGTCGTGATCCACCTACCGCAAACATGATGCGTCCAAGCGATCCTCGATTCCGCCAGACCATCAATCAGATCTCCCACAACTTAGAATCCGCGAATGAAACTGCCCAAGAAGGGATATATACCTTTTCGCATAACTACATCGGCCCGTGCTTCGCGGGCATTAAGAATGGCGTCCGATCCTGCACATCTGCTTGCTTTCCCAGCCGTGAAGACCAATTACGTCGTCGCAGGCGTGGCAGGTCAAGTGGTCGAGCAGAGTATGACTTTGATTTCTATGATGACTGGGACTACGATGAGGATACGACGACTGATAGCCTGTTGGGCTGGGGAACTGATGAATTGGACAGATTACTAGCTGGAAGTAGTGGCGCGCGGGGTCCTGCAGACCAGCCACGAAGACATCGCCGTATGAGCTATGGCGCTCGCGGTGGCCGTCGGAAAAGCACTGCATTGCCCAATGATGAAAGGCGCGATCCTACGGTTATCCCCAGTTCTTCATTCCTTGGATTTTTAGAACGTTTCCCCTGGAGAATTGGTGCCAGAGGCATAAGATATAGGCCCTCTGCAGCTGACTTGCAAGAAAATCCGGGAGGAACACGACGGGATACTATGGAGAGCGAACCTCTGATTGAGGGGAGTGATGAGAGCGACATGGACGGTTCTAAGGATGATGAGGGTTTGCCTGCGACGAAAACTAGATTAAGGAGCGGTACTCAATCATCACGAGAAACTAGCAATTCCTTAAGCTCGCGCGGCGATCTCCTACCCAGCGATGAAGAAGAAGATGCTGTTCCCCTTGACGACGAATTTGCCATGACATTAGGCCGCCGGGACACCTGGGGATCAGGATTGCAAGACGCCCCGCCTGCAAGTAGATCTGCCTCTGGAATATCAATGAAAACCACAGAATCCTCCAAAGACTCGAGAACTTCAGGCAAAGGAAAAGGAAAGCGGAGGAAGAATCGAAGGAGAACTGTCTCTTCCAAGTCCCCTAAATCACCAGTATCAGACGGAGAAATGAGAGAAACAACGCAAATTCCTTCTTTGCTAGACTTGAAGAGAGAGGAAGAGCAGGCTCGATACAAAGAAGAGATGGAAATTGATCGGAAGCGACAGGCTGCGCAGAAGCTCGCTCGAGAACGCGGCTTAAGCGTGGATGAAGATAATGGAGAGGTAAATAAATCCCCATTTTATTCCGTTCTTTCGTCTTTCCAGGGGTAGTTTTGCTGATGATGGGACCACTAGCCTGTAAACGAAAATGACGACATCTCACAAGACCCGCAACGCGAACAACAACTACTTGGCGACGCAACTCACAAACTCCCTTCGTCTCAGGGGCAAGGTTTACACTCGACAGACATAGACAAACCACCTAATCCTGTAGATAATCGAGATCCACCAGATCAAGAGCCATAATCCTAAAGACTGTGTGAATCATAGTGCAAAACACCACAAAACTTCATTCCCCATCAACCTCACTCGACTTATAACACATTTGGTTTTTTCCCGTTCATACCTTAGCCTTCAGACGACCAGCTTTCTATGAGATACCCATTAACCCGCCCCATTCGCCTGGAGCGAGCAAGCTGCCATCAGCCCATTCCGTATACTTGATGGCTCTTCTTCCTGTTTAAATTCCACGCACAGCAGAGTACAAATACCAGAGGAACGAAAAGAAAAACCGATTTCGCGTGTTTGAAAAATTATTTCCGCCTCTTTTTCTCCTTCTTGATGTATAGGTTTGCTTTATTTTCACATATATTACAATTTCCTTTTCTTGGGATATGCGAAGGATGGAATGATTGTGGATTAATTTTTCCCGGTGTATATATTCTACTATATTTCTTTCTGATTCTGTTTTACACCTACTTTTCCATTCCCACAGAGTCTTCACTAAGCAACATCGCTCTCTGGCAATGATGGCGCTACAGCAACAAGCAACATGATGGATTGATGGCTAAATATGCTATTCTGCTGATATACTGAGAGAAAATCAATAACAACTATGTTTGGTTCTCCGAACAGCTGCATCACTTCAAATGCATGGATACATGCCACATGTTCATCTACACCTCCAATGCAGTTCTCCATGCCTCGGTAAACTAGATCCAGCCTGCTATTTCCAATTCTCTAGGTCACATCATCGCTCTAAACCCCTTGTCAGCAGTGACATCCAAGCCCAAAAACGCGGCCATCTGCCCCATATGGTCGACTCCCCAGAAGCATTCCGTCTCGCCGCTGCCATTGGTACATTCGAACCAAGGCACGCCGAAGGCGCCGATTTCCACCGCCTTATCGCCATTGGCGGTTAGACGATCTTTGATTGCTTGGGTGGTGGACTACCGTTGTGTTTTGGTTTTGTAATTCGCCTTTAATTAACGAACGGATGTACTTGGGGAAATAGCGGAAAATGGAAAACGGATCCATCATAACGATGCAGTCCTCTCTGTTGTCGTTTGGGGCTTGATTTGATTTACATACCTGTGCCACCGCATTTGCAGCCATCTCTTTGCCCACGGCAGATTCCAGAATGGGGCGGAATGTGTCCGGATCGCTGATCTTTGGGTTGCCTGCGACCCAGAACTCTTGGTATAAAGCATCGAAACAGACAGGCAAACTCTTTGTAGGGATGGTGCAGAGAGCTCGTTGAACCTGGATGGGATCTGTAAGTGTTTTTTTTTTTTTTTTTCCTTTTTGCTGGCATTTCGCAAACACCATCATGATGGCTCAGGAGGCAATAATTACGGTTTGAGAACATACATTCATTGTCGAAATAGGGAACCCTTCAGGGGTGGTAGAGTATATCGGGACATTGAGGGTCTTTGCCCAGCGCGTGCGCTCTTTGTTTATCCATTTACTTTTGTCTAATATTGGAGGTTATGTGAGTAAGTTTGGCGTTTCTGCTGCGGGCAAGCAGCAAGCAGCAAGCAGCATGAGAGCATGCATGAACAAAGCGTAGGGACCCTGCTGGGACGATACAAAACATACTCTTGATGAATAGGGGGGAAACATTGTTGCATGCTTTCAAGATTCCACCGAGAAAAACCGGGGTATAGCTAATTTCACATTTTGCGAAGACGGGGGAGTGCTATGGAGTTGCTATTAGTAGTCCGATTTTGTTTTTTATTTTTAACTCCCATTCAGGGGAGACCGCCCTATTTTTGGATGGGAATTCAAAGTCAATAGACTTTTTAAATGTGAGGGGCTATCATAAGAGGGAAACAATTTATGGCATTTAAAGATAGTGAGAAATAAAAGATGGTAAAGGAATATGAGCGAAAGATCTAGCCAACGTCAAACCGCACGCGTGCTTGGCAGGACACTGCGGAATAACAAATTGAGAAGTTCAGGTATTGGGACCGCGTGACGACATATTGTAGCAAGCAAAGTGCTTGCAATTATAACATACTCTTGTCACATAGTAGGCGATGTACGCGAAGGGGCTGACGACGTCCAGATATAGATTGATCCTGGGAGCTGCCATGTATGCTGTGGGAGATATCCTTGAATGTGCATGTGCAGGATGTCAGTGAGTGAAATACGTTTCATAAAGCGGTTGTTCGTGGTGCGGACCTTGGGATTTGCTGCAAATATCAGGGCTTTGAAGTTATCCATTCGCCCGCAATTCTGCAAACGGATATTTATAAACCACATGCCGACCTCGGGACGGATTAACTAACTACGAGTCACTAACTTCAACACCATCCCCTCGTTCAATTGACAACACCAAGATGATGCCAGACAAATTCATCCAACGGAAGACGAAACTTCCGAACGGCCGACTGCTCGTATTCTGTATCCGAGGTCCCATATTGCGGCGGTTGACTCCGTCTTTTTGCCAAACTCCGCTGCCGATCTCCGTTGGTTGGGAGAACTGAACCAAGAGTCTTACGTCTCTGTTCAACTTCCTGGACATGGATACTCTAAGGTGTGGATTAGTGTGCGATTCTCCGCTGCTCCTCAGCTTGGCGACAAGTTCCCCCTCTTTTGAAGCCTCCGTCAGCAAATGTCGAGTTATGGAAGCGGATGTGGATGTGATGCAAGGTTTGCGATTGATCTTGTGGGGTTTTCTACAGATGCATCTCCTCCATGAGGGGCGTATTGAAACTCAACTCGAACCACCCTGATCAATTCAAAGAGCTTTACTTCTTCTTTCAAAAATGTCAATGTCCAACGTTGGGATCATGGGATTCATTGGTCATAATGACCCTATGTGTGCAGTATGTAAGGTGCCAGACAGTCCACCCCAAGGGTGGTACACCAGGCTACGCGCTGGTCTCAAAAAGTCTATCAGGAACATCAAGCCGCATCCAGCCAATCATCTGGGGAATGGCATTTTGCACCAATAGCTACAATTTGGACTTGATTACTGATAATGCTACTGATATCAATCTCTGGATCAGACTCCCTTCCCCCCCAGCCCACACCAAAATGACAAAATCCCTGTTGTTCAGAGGGCAGGTGAAAGGAGAATAATATTGAACTTGCAACACTGCAACATAATTAATTTTACTAAAATAGACACTGGCACACTAGTTAGTCAACACTAATGAATGAGGAGGAGGGGAAATTCAAGTGGAGGTCATGCAGTGCATGTTGATCTGAATGAACTCATATTTACCCAATTGCCACACAGCCTTTTGAGATATACTGATATATTGTTGTCAGACACAAGGCAAGATATATGAGCTGATAACGAGCACATCGTGACAATCATGGCTGGGTTGAAGCTCCTTGCTTTAAGCATAGATTGTGCAAAGTAAACCCAGCCTCATTCAACTGCTCAGGAATATTGGTTGTGTTCTGAAAGAAATGAGGAGTCTGATCTCATGGATGGCCTCCTGAAAGCATCGTCGGAAGCAAATTACAGAGCACTAGACACTGTTAGGCCATGCCAGGAGTTCGGCTCGAACAGTCAATTGAACATGGGCCTTTGCTCTAAAAATGGCAGAATGGCTTGACCTTCACCTAGACTACGCGCCTGAGCAGGATACTTCGGTACAACACAAAATGGATATATCGAATTGGTGTATGTGTTCAGAAGGCCACGATTGCGATGGCTCTCACCGACTATGAGAATATGAACTTGAGTGAATTCCCCGGTATCTGGACGTGTTATCTGCGTCGTTTGCTTCTGCAGTTGGGCAGATATCCATCGATGGGCGCGAACAGAAGCAGAAGCGCCCATCAGGTATGTCATTCCTTCCCTGAGCAAACAGCAAATATTTCAACGTTGTTGCTTCGGCCTCCATTTCCTTAGGAATGTTCCTTCCGTCTAGCGCTCTTCTGGGACTGAGATGTTCTCATTGTTATTTTGTCTTTCTCACTTTGTTTTCCTTAGCCGGGTGTCTGTTTTGATTTGTTTCATTGAAAGAAATCTCCGCTGCATTAGCTGTATATCTTCTGGTTTATACAACAACGTTTAGTTGCCTTTCAACACATTGGTGACTGCATTTTGGTTTAACACTTGCAATATCAGAACTATTCCAGTAGATTTAATCTATGGAACCATCCACTGCCCAAACGCCCACTTCTGGGAAAGGCATCCGCTCTCGTGTCGAAAATGGCGACACCGGTCCGATTGCTGAAGCTGGAAAAATTTTACTTAATGCAAATAGCTCACAGGATACGTCAAGATGGAAGCCTTTGACAGAATGCCCAGATCTCAGTATTCCCCCTGAGTCGGGCATTTTCGTGCCGGATCCATCCCCAACCAAGACGCTCCACGACAGTGATGGAGATACACCAAAATCAGAGACGCTTGGAGGATCTCTCACACGAAGGAGGCGACATGGAGAATACCACCATCGTCCACCAGTCTGGAACATTCGAATGCTCGATGACGATGTTTCAGCCTTCTCAAGTGTCAATGTCGACGCCGACTCTGATATTGTTGATTCCGTTGCCGGACTGAAGACCGACAATACTTCGCCCCATTCACACAAACAACCCACTCTCGGGTCGCTTAGCCTTTACCCCCAGGCCGACATGCAACCTAACATTAGAATATCCGAATATCCCCATCCTAATTTCCTCGCGAACACTTTGCTCGAGGAGCAGCTAGATGCGATAGCTTCTACCTGGTCAAGAGAGCCATTTGTAGTTGCCACAGCAGAGACAGATGCTCAAGAAGGTAATGAGTCAGATGGTGGCCAGTGGAGCACAACTACAGGATCTGTCAATTCTGCACCAGAGGAACCACTGCCGGCTCACCGACGGCCTAGCCCCAGAAGGCGTATTACATCTTGGCCGACCAGCTCCTCAGCTCGGTCAATAGACTCGGGAGAATCCCACCATATCGGCGTATTTGCCTTTCCTAAGCCGAGGAGCGGATTTATCTGTGATTCCGCTGGGCCTTCGAGAACAAGTGTTGATATCGATGAAACCTTCCGGGACGAGAATGAAGCTGCCGATCAGGCACGGGGAGAAGAACATGACCACTTTCAAGTGGTAAAAGCTCCTTCTCTCTCTCCAGTGATTGAACAACCCATGGATGAGAACACGCCACCTGGAGAACTAGCAGAGGATCCTGGCCCAGTCGAACATGTGACAGCTTGTTTGATATCTACCACTACGGGAGAACAACCGCGAGATGACAAACAGCCACTGCACCAACCAGGTCAGGAGCAGGGTCATCCCGAGCAAATCAGATCTGCCCCGCGTTTTCCAGAAGCACAACTGGGTGAAGCTAGGTACCAGCAATTTGGTCAACCAGAAAACGAACGAGAAACTCGTGGTAATATCGAATCGTCTTCAATATTTACCGCAGTGCAGCAATCCCAAAATGCCAACACCCCGGCCGTCGGTGCAGGAACTGATGCCACGGGTTTAGATCAACAACTCCAACCCTACCAACAACCATGCCACGAGGCTAAATATTTAAGTTCTTGTAAAGACATCCGATCTTTACCATCAAATAGAGCAATCGGATATCCACTTCCGCCCAAAAGAAAGTTCGGTTGGGCAATCGAAACCGGCTCCAGGGTAATATGCGTTTGCGACACCGTGGCAGAATGTGAATATGATGACATTTTTCCAATGAGGTTAGGCGATGCATATATTGTTCTTCAACTGTATGGCGATTTCTGGGCTTCGTGCTTAAAGCTTACTCTCGACAATCAAACCTGGTCTGCCTACCCAATTCATGAGCGGAACAGGGATAGGGCGAAGTCTACCTTCATTTGTCCAGAGGAAAATGTAAAATTTCTCCCGCTTTGCGCTCTCACTCTTGATGCCAACTTTGGAGACTACCTTGCGCGCCACCCCAGGAACGGGGGCCCGTGTTATTCACCTGCAACTGGCCAACAAGTAGTGGCCCCTAAAAGGTCTTTTAGTCACCCGATAGGCCTTAGGGGCAGCTCCGTGGTCGTTCCCAAAAAAATACTTCGCCAGGCCAAATATGCAAATATGCCACGAGATACGTCGGCTATTGCTATCTATGGTTTCACACACATGGAGGTTGGACATATACGGGAATCAAAACCATCCGAGTTGATTAATGTGGATCCGGATTTTACTCATTTTCGTCCTATTGATAATATTTGGAGGTTCAAGGCCAGGGTTGAGAAGAAATTATCACGGCAATCTCTCCGAGAAGGAAGTGAAAAGATTCAAAAATCATCTTCGACAGCCTTTACCAAATTTGTTGATGGCCCGCTAAGAAGACATTTTCACTCAGACCCGGGTTCTTCTGGTATGCGGAGATTCTTTTCGAGCCACGGAGCATCCAACACGGATACGCCAGCTGGACAAAGAGAGAGTAGTCCCCACCAGGCTACAGCAGATACTTCAAATCAAACCGAAGCTGTTGGGGAAAATCTCCAGCAGACCGTGGGCGAAATTGCAGCATCCTCACGGGAAACTCAAGCTATGGAAGGGAATACCAACAGACCTGAACGAAGCACCGCCGACAATCGTCAACCCGGAGATCAAATTACAACAACAGTAAATGAGATTAAGAGTTAATTTGGAATAAAGAATTGTGTGACAAGACATAAATTATTGCGTATTAAGGACCAATTTGCCATCCTTTATATCATAGCAACCAGTCCGATATTGTTACCTCCCCACAAATTAGTCTTATACCTATGGCTAACCCGGGCAATTTTCCTTTAGAAGCTTTGGTGTTTTAAATCGTATTCTCTTTGTACAGTTGTAAATGCCGGAATGTTTGGATCCTGCGACTAATTCTTCTTAGGCAATTTTGCACTCGTGGAATTTTTTCTCTTCACGGTTAAATTATACCCAGTTATATATTTATGCTACACTTCTTGTTTTTCGAGCTTCCAGTGACATGCCACCATTCAATCAAAGTTTAAAGAGCCCCCTCAAGTATTGCTCTTAAAAGGGAAAAAGCGCTCAGCCCTTCATCCCTTATTTTCGTTTTAAGCCATATTCCAATGAAATGGCAGGGGTACTCCGAAAGGGGCTCCAACAGCAGCTATATGAAGTGCGGAACGGATAGTGTCGAGAGAGCTTCCGACAAACCGGATTGAAGCACAAGAGTTAAAAGTCTCAGAAGAAGAGTACCCGGACGATATTTCCCAACACAAGATTAGAATCAAGGAACAGCGCTCAAATTAACATCAACAGCTATTCATTCAGCCGGTTCCCCCCCGCGTCCTCTACGCGTTCGTATGGCTGAAACTCACTGCTACGAGTCTGCTTCTGTAGCCTCATTGTGATAAGCTCTGGCGCGGGCTGCTACCCATTCTTCCGGTCAAATGGGGTTTCTGCCAATTTACTACTAATAGTAGTATTTACCAATCGGCGCGTCCGGGGTGTAGTGCACATAAGATTTCGATTTCGATTTCGTTCTGTTCCTTCGGGACATGGGCCGCATCAAGGTCGTCCCAGCATTACATGCAAATGTTAATCAAAAGACCAGGAGGCGAGTTATTCGCGTTGTTCGCGTTAGACCAACCATGTTGGCCTGATGGCTGAGGCGTGTCACTGTCCACCGTTCTTGGGTGGACTGCTCTTGCTGGAGGGCGACTGTCAGCAAATTATGGGTGATTGGCTCAAAAGGGGTGAGATGTGAGCCTAATGGAATTAGTAGTGGTGGGTATGGAGGAAAGAAATGGAGGCAGTGAGAGTCAGTCGCAAGTTTCGTGGAGGAGCAAGGAGAAGCGAGTATATTCCCGAGTCAAAACTAAACTTCCCCCTCCAAAAAAAGAGAGAAAGAAAGAAAAATTCAAAATTCAAAATTCAGGCTTTCAGATATGGAAGGCGAAGAATGAAAATATCATATCATGGAATGCTCAGGCGATATGGCAGGAAGTGCACTGGTAAAAGTAGGATCGCTATGCCATGGAAATACTATCGCAAAAAACACAAGGGTCCTAAATAAAACAAGGGGGCGTAACTTAGAACGCGGGGTATATTATGAACGATATCTCACCCAACGAAGGAGAAAGTTAGAGAAGATGCACATGTAAAGAACTTATTAGAGCGCTTAAAAATGTCAATGGGGAAGCGCTATAACAAAACAGGATATATCCCTTGGAGGTGAACAGGTACTGAACAGCAAATTTCAAGTCCATTAGGAAATACAAAGAATTAGAAGAAAAAAGATAAATATATAGAATGCCCAAACACCTAGAACATGAAAAGAAAGAAATGTTAAAACTTATAGCCATAAAATCCATCTAATGCCCGAAACAGAACCCCTCCACAGGCCTCTAAAAATTTTGAAGATCATCACAACTAGCCACAACCACCACATAGCCCCAACAAGCACCCATTCTAACATGACAAACCCGACACGGCTTATCCATCGAAACCTGCGTTTTCGTTTCCTCAAGCCCTTATCGAGCGAGTCGTTGAGCTGCTTCAATGCCAAAGTATTCGTCGTCGCGAGCTCGCTAGTTAGTTTGTCAGCTTCGGATGTGAGCTCGCGGATGCGTGGGTTAAGCGTGGATGTGACTAATGAGTCTAAATCATCCAATCGCGACTTCAAAGACGGTGAGGTTGATGATGAGAATTTCGACATAGCATGCTGAACTTGGCAAACTTCGCGGTCGAACTTGAACATCAGGCTCCGAGCTGCAGTTGTCACTTCCTCAGACCGCGGGACGCGAGGTACATTGCCACCCAACCCGTGCTCGGTGCTAAATACGAGGACAGGAGGGGAATCCCGTATCATGTCGGCTTGGCGGCATATTTCTAGTGCCTTAATTCCCGACGAGAGCAAATGAGCTCTTACTCGTGCAATTTCACGTCTATCGATACGATACGGGCCATCAATACTACGGGAGATGCTCCAGTTTCTTGTGGCCACAGACATTGTAGGACGGAGTTGGCCAGTGGGTGTGACGGTTAAATTGGTAAGGCCTGTGACTGGAAGCTGATCTCGACTGACTTGGAGGGAAAGGTGGTTATTGTTATTTTTATTTGATCCCACAGAGCCAACGAAGCTATTGCGGCCCTCTCTAAAGGAATTATTTCCCACATCGCAGCAGGGAGTAAATGGGTTGAGCAGGTTGTCGTTGTGAGAGACATTGGCTGATTCGTCCTCGAGTGGCTGTGACTTAATATCAGATTGCGCTGAGATGTCGACTTCGCATAATGGCTGTGATTCGCCTTGGTCATCGTGCTTGGGAGGAGAGGCAAAGACAGGTAGGTTTGGCACATGGTATTTGGGTAAATCCTTTTTGGAATTCATCCGTGATAAACCGGGACTTTCGGATAGGATCGGAAAACGAGACAAGTGGAGCTTTTGTTTGCGCTTTGCCTCAGGGAAGTTGTCATCCGCGTCGACATAATCCGAAAATACCTCGCTCGATGCCGTTGATGACTGCCTTGAGTGGCCTGAGATATCCTTTTTCCAGATGTAATCGCCAACTTTGGAAACTTCACTTCCCACGAGCTCAGCCAATCGTGCAGGTTTGAAAATCCCCCGAAGTCTCGACTCCTGCTGCATTTGGTTCTTGTTTATTTGTGGTGGGCTGCTAGGATGATGAATATCACTTGCTCTAGCTCTGTCCTCGTGATGATCTAAGGCCAGCTGTGTGACAGAGTTAAACAGAGGCATATCAGGAGCAGACAAGTGTTTATGCGGAGTTAATTCAGGAGCGTCATGATCGACAGGAACTACCCCAGATGATCCACCGTTTGTTTTAGTGTAGGACAACCGATTTCCTAAATCAACTAGACGTGATGCAGATGGCTTTGTCGGTGAAGAAGGGCGACTTTCAGGAGGTGACAGGTTTAGTGCAATGTTGGGATTTTCTTGCCTGTTGGACGCTAGACCAAGGCTACCATCAGCAGTCGCAATCGATGATCGTGGGATGTCATCTTTTCTTCTCTCGATCATAGATGATGACGATGATCCCACGTTGTTGCCAGGTGGCGGAATATGCCGTTCTTGTCCCAGAGGGGTGTCCAAAAATGGTAGGATATGGGGTTGTGCGTTATTTCTTGAAGATAGAGCATCATCACCAATTTGTGCGTCAGAAACGTTATGAGGTATGGTAGAAGAGGATGTAGGTTTTTGAGAGGCCTTATCCGACGATCCGGGGATTTTTTGGACTGGGGAGCCGATCAAGTTCTCATTCTCAATTGGCCTTCTTGAAAGCCGTGGAAAGCGTTTTCTCCCCCGATGTTTTTCCTGTTCGTCATCGCCGGATTCGCTAGACGAATCAGAAGTGCGTGAGAGAGCTTTTCGCCATCTTGACTTGCTCGCCTCTATCGAGGGGGACCTTCGAGGGGAAAGCTGAACTGGACTCTTAATCTTGTGTCGAGAACGCCCACGATCCGCGCCTGTATGAGCGTGAGAGAAAACAGATTTGAAGCTAGGGAGGCTTTCATGAGTTGAAGGCCTTTTCGTTAGTTGAATATGGTCGCCCTCCGATTTCTCCGTCGTCGGAGCAGGCTGCTCGGTCGATGATTCCAAACCTTGTAATGGAATACGCTGCAAACGCGTGTCCGGGCTGAATAGTCGCTTGCCGTCTCTGTTTTCAATTTTAAGTTTATTAGACCCCTCTTCAAGCCATGCAGCATCCGCTAAAAAGTCTGCGGGAGAAGTTATCCAATCTATCCGCGGCCGACGGGGTTTGCTGCTATCTCCACCACTATGAACTCTAGTAGCATTGGTCGTGGTTGTGACGGATTGCGCCTGGTTACCTGGTCTATCATCGGAGTCAAACTTGGGAAGCAGAACGCAATCCTCAGATCTATGATTTGGGTTCTCATCCGAGCCTGTAATCAGGTCCACCCAACTTCGTACCCTCTCGGGGTTGTCCCATCCATCGGCCTCAGAATCAATGGGGCATTTCTCGCGGAACCTCACTTTGCGATTACGGATGTATTGGAGAGGGTTATATTCCCGGCCACGAGATCCTGCCGTTCTAGCCGATACAGATGAATTTGCAGTCGAACCTGAAGGTTCATTGTTAGTTGGGAGAGGAGGTAGATGTGGAAGTAGGCGCAGATATTCTGCAAAAAGTTCAAAATGCTTTCGTGTCTTCTCCGCTCTGGCAATTGTAGCACTGGATACGTCATATGGCATGTGCTCGAATTGTGTCGAACTTATATCCGTCATGACCGACCCTGGATATCTTTCCATAGATGGGGAGTGTGATTGGCGTGGAGCCACTGAAGGGTGTCGACGAATGCCTGGTGCTGACGTTATTTTGCTGGATGTCCGCTGGTCCAGTGAAGCATAATGTTGACTATCCATCATGTTTTGTCGGGGAAATTTGTAACTGTCCGCCGATATGTCACTTCTTGAGACCCCCCTGGATCTTGGTGTCATGCTTGAAACCACTCTCCCGGACGCACATCTCCTCCTCGAATCACTAAGATTCAATGCTAAGTTTACTATCTGAGCTGGATCCGTATCGAGCCCGATAGATTGCGGAGGATGCGTGGATGCCGCACCTGACGAGGTATCGGAGGGCATCCTAGGTGCACCATCTCGCGACGCTTCACGGTGAGAAACATTCGTCATGGGGGTTGCCGGCGCCGGGATACCGACGGGTGACTTTTTGTATTTATAATTAACAGTCGCATGTCGTTTAGGAACAACGCTGGCGGATTCATTACTAGTCCATTTCCCCTTCCTCTGGCTTGCTGAACTAGCCCGGGAGAGGATGGTGGCCCCATCATAGCCAGGTTCCGGTCTCCTCGCTGGGATCAAAGAGGATTCTAGGAAAAAGGTACTGGATGTCCTGTTGTTCCTGGGCCTCCTTGAACCACGGCGCTGCTCCCCATCTCTTGATCCGCATTCTAGTGTGGTGTCCTCCAATTCACTAGAGTCCGGAGGTGTGGTTTTCGTTCGAGAATGGGAGGATTGGGGATCAGGCGGCAGCATGGCTGATTTGTCTGTGGACGTAAACATTCGAAGATATCGGGCTTATACCGCACGGGGCAACGCCTCGAGAGTGATTTCGGCCATTGGCTAAGTCGGGAGTACGCAATAATGACGGATAGTATCCAGCATGGTATGGGAGCGGTAGCGTGTGAGTATGTGGCTATCCGCTGAGCCAAGCTGAAGCTGAAAGGCTAGTGTAGCGAAAGAAATAGATCATCGCTTGTAGAGACGAGAAACGTGCAGCTGTCGAGGTGTCATTGTCGCTTGTGTTCTGTAAATGAGCAGGTATAAATGAGAGACTATGTAAATGACCAGGTGATGCTGGGCTGATGTTATACGGTGCAAACGGTGCAAACGGTGCAAACGGTGCAAACGGTGCAAATAGTGCAGACAGAGGACCAGCCAGGAAGATATGGGAAACAAGCAGTCAAATAAACTACTAGACAAAGGAAATAGCATATCTAACATTGAGTCTAAGTAATTGTGGAATATGATATGTGTACAAAGCGGTAGCTGGTGAAAATACAAGAAGGAGATAGTTAGTCCCGACCAGGGTAATATTAATTTTGATTTATTCGACTTGCAAGCAACGAAGACGGGCCTCAGTCTCGATGATCTGTGAACACAGATAATCGTTAGTAAAGCCAATTTCTATGACATTATACAAATGCCTTTAAAAAATGGGAATATGAACGTACCTCGAGAGCCTGTTTAACTTCCAGAACCCGTCGGACATCCGCAAGCCAATCCTTACTCAGCAATTTCGCCCAGCCCTGCAGACTATTCATTTCACGAGCAGCCTCATCAAAATTACCCTCTTCAAGAAAGTTTTCGGTTCGAGTCAGGATGCTCTCCACGTCATCGCTGGTAGGCAACCCTTGTTTCTTCAGCATAACCTTGCTAAGAACCAAACTGGCAGCGTGGCTCGTGATACCAGCGTTTTCAGGCAACAGCCTAGCTTTGCGAACTTCGCTAGCTACCCTTCGGAATCTATCAACCAGCTGAGCCGCAGATGGGATTCCACGTTGGTAAGCTGCCGGGCTGATCGAGGCGATGGCGGCCGCAACAACTTCATCATTAGACGCAAGCTCCTTCACCGCAGCCAATTCGCGAACGAAAGGGCGGGGCACATCGGAGTTCTCCAGAGTCGTTCGTACAGCATCAACTGCAACCTGAAGCTGTTGGGTCTTCAGATTGATGTCAACCACGTCGCTCCATCCGGCAGTGAGCCGTTCCAGTTCCGCGACGTTAGCGGACAGTTCAGCCAACTTGCTTAGGCGACCCTCACGCTCATTCTCAACGAGGGTCTTGACATCAGAGAGAAATTTACGGTTTAACTCAATGGCCTGCTCAACTAGTTCATTGCGAAGGCGTTGTTCGGCCACTTCATGAGCCCTCTGAAGCTCTGTGTTGACTTTTTCCTGGTATGACCTGGCGATTTTCTCTCGTTCAGATTCAAACTCTTCGCGAAACTCAGCAGCGTCCTGGGTGCGGACTTCGTCAATACGTCGAATGAGCTCTGCGGCAGACTTGTCAAAGGCGGCGTGCGCATTTCTGATTTCTTCCTGCGCCGATTCCTGAGCATCTTTCTTCAAAGCAACGATGCGGTCCCCGATCCTCTGCAACTCCTCCTTCGCCTTGGCAATGGGGCCGGCGAACTTAGAGGCAGATTCATCAGCGCTGATTACGGAAATTACGTCATTGAAGACTTTAACTAGGTCCTGCACGACGGGCTCATCCGCTTTATCCTGGACCAAGCGCTCGATGGCAGTAACGGCCGGAACTGCTGGTTGCCTTGGAGCCTCCAAATTCTTCTCCTCTGTCTTTGCAGGTTGAGGTTCGAGAGCCTCTTGAATTGGTATGTTTGCAGCCACGTCCTCCTTCTTAGCCGCTGATTTGCTCTTCACCTCCTCCTTGGCCTTTTCAGCAACCTTGATATCTTTTGTCGGCTCATTCGCATGGGCGGTGCCCATGCGTCTTCCTTTCTTAGTCATATCGGTCGCTTCCTGTTGCTCTTCTGCAACCTTCCATGACAATCCGCTTCCGCTTGGTATCGTAACCTGAGCACCTTCATCTTTTGGAACTGTGACGCGCCGATTAATCTGTTTTGTAACGTGAGGGAACCGGTTCCGGAAATCACGTTCTTCAAGATACAGAACCGCCTCCTCGCCATATGGGATATATTCGGTGAAGAAATCGTAGAAGTTATCCGACCTAAGGGAGTACCAGACACCCCCAGCATACGCAAGCCCAGCTGTGAGAAACAGGTAGAGTAGTTTGCGTAATCGGCTGGATTTGGGGCCCGGCGGCGGCGGCGGTGTGGAGGACTCATGATCTGGCGGCAGCACCTCTGAGCCTGGAGAAGTCTGACCTTGAACGGGAGGAGATTGGGGCGGTTTGGGAATACTTTCCGGGCGGAGGGAAGATCGACTTGATGGAGAGGCCGGTGATCGGACGTCCGCATCACTTGGACCTGGAGGTTTCGTGCTTGTTGAGCTTGCAGCTTTCTGAAAGAACTGTGAAGTGGTTGCGGTATTGGGGGTTAAGGAGCATCGACGGCCGGCATTTGATTTTCTAGCAAGAGCATGATATCTCTGCGTGAGTACTATCAGCAATAAGTTAGACAATAATAGGTATTCGGGATGAATTTACCCTAGTCGCCGTATTGACCCGCCTGGCTCTTGAGGTACATAGCCATTGTGCAGGCGCCTTGGGACAGACTGAGGAAGGGAGCAACGGACGGCTCGACGCAATTGAAGTGCGCAGCATGGCGTGCGACACTGTCAAAAAAATGGTCGATTGGCGGGGCCAGAGGGGGATTAGTGAGGCACAAGAATTGCCAGAGATCTTCATTCAGCTGTGTTGAGATTTGAAGTTGCTTGGAAATTTAGCGTGGTTGGCACCAACCACACATGCACCAGCCACACTTCAATGCTAGGAACCGAAAACAAGAATAGAAATAATATCTAGATGTGAAACACGGTTTGGTGATTATTCTCTTGTCTTCTCGTAGATTATCCTATCCAGCAGCAGAAGCATTCCGTCTCTCCCGAGGAATGGCCAATTACCTGCTGTAGCCTGTATGAACAATGACATTCATAGACCTAGCCTTGAGTTAGCAGGACATGCGAACAGCCAGAACTCAGAATGCACCTCCCTTGTCAATAAGATAAACACAACACCTTCCGAGTTACCAATTAGTGGACAAAGTGTGTCAAGTGTTTCGGGCTTCATTATTCTAAAGGTATCTAGTTCGTGAATAGCTGGTTTCCGCTGAGGGACAGAGTTAGCATTGCACTATATCTTCCTCCATTACAAGAGGCTTAAATACCATAGTAGTATTTTTATAAACTAGCCTAACTACAAAAATAAACTGGTGAGAATATCACTAATTACTACGCATTACTATTTTCATATTTGGCCGTAAAAAATAAACATCTTGGTAGCAAATAAAGTCAAAAAAGGCAATGAAGGGGGAGGAAAACAGAACAAAACAGGATCAAGGATGGATTGACGGGTGGGTGCGAGAGGGATGAGCGATCCATAAATGCAACCAGGAATATATGAAAGATAGAATACTATACTAAGTAAACGACTACTAGAGTAAACGACGGCCAAAATAACACCGGGAGCAGAGCAGAGGAAAGCAAACAGAACAAAAGGGAAACACGAATAAAGTATTAAAAGGTGAGGGAGCAAATCCACCGAACATGGGTCTAATGAGATTGCGAAGACGAAGCCGTCAGAAGTCAATTAGGACGCCGTCGTGGTTAGTTCCAGTGCTTGGAAGGAGATGTGCGACGCAAAGGCATGTTGGAGGAAAACAAAAGATACCCAAAATCTGCTATAGAGATAACCACATATTTAAATGCACATTCAACTTTGGGATAAAACTTGTCCATGCTGCCATATAACCATTACCTCTTTGTCGCATTTCGTTGGGGGGTTGCAGAGATACATTCTCATGCCGAACACAGACTAAAGGCCATATGTGGGAGAGAGAAGAACTGTAGGCAATTCGAGCGGTAGCGGACGGGACAAACGGATGGATTCTCGTACTTAATGCCAGTGGAAGAACCCAGGGGCGTAAATCAAGTATAACCTCTCCAGCCATCACTAACTCTAGCACGAACAGCTGTTCGCCTGTGGTCCAGCAGCCTCAGGGCGCAAATCAACCCCTGGACGGGGATTAGATCGTAGATTTCGGGGACCCGCCTGGTCTAATGGCAGTTTCTTCGCTATGGCCGTGAATAGCTCTCGTACGTTTGTCGAGGTTTTGGCTGACGTCTCGAAGAAAAGCAGACCTGCTTCACGCGCATAGGCTTCAGCATCTACCGTCTGGATGGCACGCTTATCCGGGCTATCCGTCACAAGATCCAGTTTATTACCGGCAAGGGCGATGACGATGTTCTCGTTCGCCTGCCGTTGAAGTTCCTTTACCCATGATTTTGCTTTGTCGAGGGAGGACTGGCAACGTGCGAACAGAGGCAGTCAGCTTCGTCTAGATGTTCAAGGTTGTAGGTGGACGGGGAGAAGACATACTGCTTGGGTGATATCGTAGACAACAACAGCACAGTTCGCATTCCGATAGTACATTGGCGCAAGAGACTTGTATCTTTCTTGGCCAGCAGTATCCCATATCTCGAATTTGACAGTTGTATTTTCATCTAGAGATATCGTCTGGGTAAGAAACGCGGCACCGATCGTCGATTCCCGATAGTCATCAAATTGGTCCTAGACAACAACAACAACAATCATAGTCAGTACTTTGTCCCACCAAACATAAAGCTAACTTTCCAGCTACATATGGAAGAGGGAAACGCACTTTAACGAATCTAAGGACAAGGGAGCTCTAGCAGGCAACACAGTTAATGTTAACATGGTCGTCCACCCATCAGATGCAGGGTTTCAGGTATCGGGGCCAAACCTTTCCAACAGCGGATTCTCCTAGTAGAAGCGACATGTATCAGTGACGGTCGTCCTTCAACAGCAATGGAAAAGTGAGGGACAAAAGAGGAGACTAACCTAGTAGGACGAGCTTGAACTGGGCGAATCTGGCACCCGGGCGGCCGCCAGCAACAGCTCGTGAAGCCATGACTGTGGTTACAAGGGAGATGATGGAAATCAATGACAGATAGACACAGAAGGAGAATGAAGTAGAGAAAGGGATGTAAGCAGAGGGATGTTACTCATGAACAGCAACAGCGGCGGTATGTATTTAGTTGAAATATGCTAGCGATGGTGGGATATAATCCGATTGTCCTCGTTGCCCTTGAAGGATTTCGCTGTGGCCAGGATGACGACGAACCTAACCAACCACGGGTTCTTCCTGGTGCACCAGCCACACTCCTCACTCAGCAACACCTTGGAAACGTAACTGAACTCCTCCACACTCTCGCATCTGCAGGCGAGTAGCTACATGACCACCAGAGGATTTTAGATAAGAACATATCCACCTCTAGAGAAGGAAGGGATCGTATTGATTGTGCATTGGTTTTGCCTCATTATGCGCTTCTCTTCGACGATCTAATCCCCACCCACCACAATAATTCACACTCCAAACAACAATGCCCACTACACTTCCATTCCGCGATATTAACCTACTGGTTTCACCCTCTCAATATGCTTTCCGCTCTGCTTCTTCGTCATCTGCACCTACACTGGTTGTAGAGCGTCCAACTGGAGACCTACGACTAGAGAACTCCTCTGCTCATGGTGCCAAAAGGGTCTCCAGCATTGCTGGAATCCTAGGCATGATCAAGCTGAAACTAGGTGAGTTAACTTATACAAAGTCAGTGACTATAGAGGCTTCTAACTCCCGTTAGACAAGTACATCATCGTGATTTCGAAGACACGGCCTGTGGGCAGGCTGCGAGGCCACATGGTTTATAAAGTTGTTGCCACTGAATTTCTTCCTCTGCGAGAGAGATACCTCCACGACCCGGACGAGGATGCGTACCTCAATCTACTTAAACAATTCCTACGTGCGGGGCCTATGTACTTTTCCTACTCGCTAGACATCACCAACAGTTTTCAGCGTCTGTCCCAAAGCGATCCGTCTCTGCCACTGTGGAAACGAGCAGATGATCGTTTTTTCTGGAACAGATTCATCCAAACAGACTTGATAGACTTTCGATCGGGGGTGAATGATGGAACCGGCGTGCGGTATGGTCAACTATCGGATGTGGATCCTTTCATTCTCCCTGTCATGTTCGGAATGATGAATATATCTTCAACGAAAATCAAGTCTACTCAATTCACCTTTGCACTGATAACACGAAGGTCCAGGCATCGGGGTGGCACTCGGTACTTTTCGCGTGGAATCAATGAGCAGGGACATGTTTCAAATTTCAATGAAACTGAGCAGGTAGTTATCCTGAATGACTCTACTGGGGGAATGGCTGGATTCGGTGGTGTTGGAATGGAAAATGGAAAGGTTGGTAAACATGCTGGTAAAGACCTGCAGGTACTGTCGTTCGTACAAACCAGAGGTAGCGTCCCTCTGTACTGGTCAGAAGTCAACAATCTAAATTATACCCCGCTTCTCCAAGTACGTTCTGTCGACTCTGCCCTGAACGCAGCACGAAGACATTTCTTGGAACAAATCCGAATCTATGGCGAGAATTATCTTGTCAACCTGGTGAACCAAAAGGGAAGGGAAGAGAAAATCAAAAGCAGCTACGAACAGATGATACGCGCGTTGGTTACATCCCCCACCGAGAAAAGAGACGCTGATACCCTCAGCTCTGAAAAACTCCATATCGTCGAGCCAACCCGAGATGCCCAGGAAATGGATCATCTTCACTATGTATACTTTGACTTCCACAGCGAGACAAAGGGGCTACAATGGCACCGTGCTGAGCTGTTGCTGGAACGGCTTACTGACGGGTTACTAAAAGGCCAATATTTCCGTGGAATCGAAGTTCCTGGCGATAGTACTGGCTCTTTGGAGATCCGAACACTACAAACCAGCGTTGTGCGTACGAATTGCATGGACTGCCTGGATCGAACGAATGTTGTCCAGAGTATGCTTGCTCGATGGACTCTGACACGTCAACTCCTTGACGCTGGGGTTCTCCAACCGGGAGAGTCAACCAGTGATGACTCAGAGTTCGAGTTCCTATTCCGTAACATGTGGGCAGACAACGCGGACATTGTCTCCAAATCCTACTCGGGCACTGGAGCCCTGAAGACTGACTTCACTCGAACTGGGGAGCGGACAAAGGCTGGTATTCTCCAAGATGGCAGAAACTCCGTCACCAGATACGTCCTCAACAACTTCCTGGATGGCCCAAAACAAGACGCATTTGACCTGTTCCTTGGCGCCTATCTCCTTCCCGACCCTAATCCTGGAGATAGTCTCCTTTTGGCAGATCAAAGGCCCTTGGCTATTCGATCGGTCCCATATATTCTCGGCGCCAGCATCTTCATGATTTCTGTCTCTCTAATCAGTCGCCGTCTCCCGGACTCTGCAGCTTGGCCCTTGAGAATATTTCTTATAGTTTGGCTAGTGATTGCGGCCTGGTGTGTGCGATTCATATATAGCCATGGAATGCTTTATGTAAGTTGAATACCCACAAAGATCGTTTCGTCTCAACGATTACATACCACTGACGATTTTTCCTCGCACGTCAGGTAAATTGGCCTAAGCTCAACACCCCTGCAGCAGCCGCTGAGGGTTACTTGGATGCACTGGGCCGTGCGCGAAACGATAAAATTATTGGCCAATTCATCAACACTGGAAGACATCAGCGCGGATTCAGCAATGCACGTGTTGGATACATGGAGGAGGGAAAGACAAGAATCGAATAGAAATTATTATTTACCTGCTAAGTAACCACATACATAATTTTCGTTATACATTATCCCCTCAGCTTGTTTCGATTTCTGAAATGGCCTATTTATATCCAGTGTATATGTATGTATTCTTCCTCTTGCCGACCGTTTTTGCACCCACACTATTCTCACTATTCTCCCTTTAATCCATTCCAGGCAATGTTTCATATAACAACTATCGCCTTTGTGGAGGAGGTGAAATTAGTTTGTATTACATCTTTTAATTTAGAGGGATGGGTCTGTATTCTTGCTGTTTTGGTATACTTGTTTTGTGCTTTTCGAACTGATGTTTCCATCCATTGCCACCAACATTCACCCATAAAAGTCAGTGAACAAACTCAAATTTATTTATAGATAATAATTCTACTGGCTTTGTTACATGATGTTACTTGTTGGTTATCTCTGCAGGACAGAGTAATTAATGCATGTGTGAAGATTAACATTGGTTGGTGCCTTCGACAATGCTAAGCCACTTTCGGCCTGTAGTTATCTTATCAACCCTCACTAGAAAAACTTCACCACTCAGCGAGTTGCTTTTCTCAACCCAGATACCGATCCAACACCAATGCTCACGCCCTCCAAAGGGTGGTTTAATCCCGGTTCTCGAAGGGCTAAGCTCCCTACGCGAGTATTTACGAGGAGATTTGTGAGAATGGCTCGCAATTATGAGGTTTGTCGTTCCCCTTGCTTAGGTCGTCGCGGGGATAATGCATCTTGGAATAAAACCCCCGATTGATATGACTCGAAAACAAAACGAAGAAAGAAATAAATGGTAATAATAGGAATCAATCCAGGATGCCATCGCGGCTCTTAATTCTCTTCAATCTAATTTCGCAATTGTCAATGCGATCCGACAAGCAGGCCCGAATATGAACCTCCGGGCCATACCTGAGATGATAGAGTGGTGCCAGAAGATAGGATATCAGGTGTGCGGCTAACCCTCTCCGCTCTATGTTCAGTTCCATACATCTCCGTACTACCCTGGAACGGCTATTGTTCGTGTATAAATTGAGACGAGTTTGATTTCGCCATGTAATTTGTCAACGTATTTCAGGCCTACCTTGCTAAATATTAATCCCATTTGTTGGAATCAAATATAGCCATCCGAACTAAACCGACTGAATCTAATTCATATCGCGGGGACAAAAGGAAAAGGATCGACATGTGCATTCATCTCCTCGATTCTGAGCCAATACCTACCGTCCGCATCCGTATCCCCACGCTTAGCAGATTCCCAACGGCCAAAGATCTCAAAAGTCGGCCTGTACACATCCCCACATCTCCGCTTCATTCGGGAGCGTATTCAGATCAACAATGAGCCCATCTCCGAACAGCAGTTTGCGAATTACTTTTTTGAGATTTGGGACAGGCTGGAGGCATCGGCCAAGGCAGGTGGAATGGATCCGGCGGACCCTGTGTCGAAGCCTTCCTACTTCCGTTACCTGACGCTCATGGCCTTCCACGCATATATGTGCGAGGGCGTGGATGCCGCGATTATCGAATGTGGCATTGGTGGCGAGTACGACTCGACGAATGTCATTGACAAGCCGGTTGTGACCGGGATCACGAGCCTAGGAATTGATCATCAGTCTACGTTAGGAAATACCATTGAAGAAATCGCCTGGCATAAAGCGGGGATTATGAAGAAGGGAGTCCCGGCATTCACGGCTCCGCAGATCGAGAATGCCAGGGCCGTACTGGAAAAACGCGCGGTGGAAAAAGTGGCGGAGCTCCATGTCGCAACTGGACATCCGGAGCTCACCCCCAACAACCAAGCAGCATTGCGACTGGGCCTTTCAGGAGAATTTCAATATTCAAATGCAAGCCTCGCCGTTGCTGTTGCTGGGTCCTTTCTGAGATCCAGAGGTTTTCAAGACATACCCCCTAATTTGAACAGCTTACCACTACCGGACAAGTTTAAACGTGGCCTAAAAACAACTAAACTAGGCGGCCGCTGTGAAATGCGTCTAGAGAAAAATATTGCCTGGTATATTGACGGTGCCCATACGCTAGAAAGCATCGAGGCGACAGGAAAATGGTTCGTCTCTCAACAACCGCGAGCCACAGAGTCACCAGCATCACCTCTATCGTCGTCCTCAACAAACTCCATCCCCCGTATCCTCATCTTCAACCAACAGACCCGCGACAGTGTCGGTCTCGCCCGCGCCCTCCACAACACCCTTTCTCTCTCCTCCGCTAACCTAACTTTCACCCATGCCATCTTCTGCACAAACGTTACGTTCAAGCAGTCTGGCTACAGGCCCGATCTCGTCAGTCTAAACACAAGCGCATCGGATGTCGAGACTCTGAAGGTTCAACGAGCGCTCGCGCAAGCCTGGAAGGAATTGTCGCCGTCGACCGAGGTATTGGCAAAAGCTACCATTGAAGAGGCTGTGGATGTTGTTAGGGAGATTGGGAAAGCTAGGGAACAAGAGTGTGAAGGGGTGCGTGAGGCCACAATCTCCGCACTTGTTACTGGGAGCTTGCATCTTGTTGGGGGACTTTTGGAAGTTTTGGAGACAACATCGAGCAATTGAATTCCCCCAAACGATATGCTTAGGGACAAGCAAAGTCTGTGGGAACAGAATCACGGATGTAACATTTCTTGTTTTATCAATTCCTCCAGTTTATATAACGGAGCTATCGGGTTCTCTCGACCTCTCGCGAGCTTACCTTGCTTTTGCTCATTTACGTTCCCGCGAATAATATTTCAATAATTTCCCCATTTGCGATGCCTCCTAGTTTGTACATGATACCTTCTTCAGAGTCCCCTGGCGCGGCGCAGGATGCAATGTTTTCCCTCCCTACAAAGCCTTCTTGTTGCGCTTCTACACTTCGTTAATGATCCTTGCTCCGTACAGTGGAATACAATGTGTATATTAAGACGAAGCCAGCCCCATCTCAGGAGCCTTGACTTTGAAAGGTACATTATGTGTCTATGTTATTGTGGTACTCTTTCGGGAGCTTCTCAATAGCCCTATCCCAAAAACAGCCATATCGAGTGGGCTTTTGAATATTCGTATCCCACTCATTATTATTATCATTATTATTATTATTATTATTATTCATCGTGCGAACAACACAGAAATCTAGGGCAAAGAGAAACTACAGCGGATAACGCGGGGCCAAGGGTAGTCCGTATTTTGACGAGTAAAAAAACTTCCGAGGTTCAACAAGTTAAGTTAGTTGGCGGCTGACAAAGTCCTAGCGCATGTGGGAAAGCATTCCGCAACCCCCCCCCCTCATTTGCACTCCCGCACAATCCAGTTTCAATTCACATCATCTCCTACGACACCACCGCTATTCTTAATGCAATAACCGCTGGGCGAATATTCTACGCGACCTTATAACCGACACTAACCCACGAACTCTTCGCCGAAACCCGCTCTTCTCAAGCTTCATGTCAGAACAAGAAGGGAATCAGTCGGAGCACCAGTCGGAGCACGTAGGTGAATCAGAGGGGAAATTGCCAAACGAAGCTCCTACAACCTCCCAATCAACAAACGCATCTACCGGGACGGTGGGGAAAGGGGAGAAGAAGTCAAGCGATGGAGACCCCGCGGCCGCAAATCCTGCGACAAAGCTCACCCCCAGCATGGCGGAATCGCTACTCGAGCTGAACCCGGCCCTGCGAAGCGAGCTTGCTGGAATGGATAAGGAAAAGGCAACAGAAGCTCTTCGCCAGATGAACATTTCGGATCTCCTCACCGGTCTATCTGTGAACCCGAAGAACCAAAAGGATATGGCGTCTTTCAAGTTCTGGCAAACGCAGCCGGTAATTAGATTTGATGACAGGGAGAGCGGGAGCCCTGACGGGCCTATCAAAACAGTTGAACTTGACCAGGTTTCTCGGGAGCCTATTCCGTTAGTTGACGGATTCGAGTGGGTTACACTGGATATAGATGATGAGGCGGAGCTGAAGGAGTTTTATGAATTGCTGGCGAACCATTACGTGGAAGATGGCAGTGCTATGTTCAGATTCAATTACTCGCCTGCATTTCTGAACTGGTGCGTTGTTTTCTGTTGCCATGCTAGTTGGTATTAGTTATGTTCTTGATACTGAACGCTTTTTTAGGGCACTCAAGGCTCCCGGGTGGAAGAGAGAGTGGCATGTTGGCGTCAGGGCTTCTAAATCCCGAAAGCTCGTCGCATCCATATGTGGTGTCCCTGCAGAAATTGCAGTGCGGGGGAAGCCACTAAAAGTCACGGAAATCAACTTCCTCTGCGTACATAAAAAACTTCGCTCAAAGAGACTGACGCCAGTCCTTATTAAGGAGATCACACGTCGTTGCTACTTACATGGCATTTATCAGGCAATATATACAGTTGGGATCATGCTACCTACGCCAGTCAGTGCTTGTCGGTACTACCACCGTGCGTTGGACTGGCTAAAGCTGCACGAAGTTGGCTTCTCGCCGCTTCCGATTGGCTCAACCAAGTCCCGACAAGTTACGAGGAATCACCTACCAGGCCACACGTCCACCCCTGGCTTACGCCCAATGCAAAGCAAGGATATTGACGCCGTTCAGGATCTCTTAAACCGATATCTCAAACGATTTGACCTTTCTCAGATCTTCAGTCGAAAGGAAGTAGATCATTTGCTGCTACATAAGGAGAAACCCGGAGCAGAACAAATTGTTTGGTCCTATGTTGCCGAGGAGCCGGGAACGCACAGAATTACGGATTTCGCCTCTTTCTACTCCCTGGAATCTAGTGTCCTCCAAAACTCAAAGCACAAGAACGTTAAAGCCGCTTATCTCTATTACTACGCAACAGAAACTGCATTTTCAGAAAAAGAAAAGGGTCTAAAGGAAAGGCTCCTGACGCTGATAAATGACGTATTGATTCTTGCCAAGAAGGTATGTTTACACATCTGATGCGTTGCTTAATTTCGGTCCTTTTTTTTGTTTATCTTAATTCCAACCGATCTGCCAGGAACGTTTTGACGTCATGAACGCTTTAACTTTGCACGATAACCCGCTTTTCCTTGAACAGCTAAAATTTGGTGCTGGAGATGGCCAGCTTCATTATTACCTATTCAACTACAGAACCGCGCCCATCGCTGGAGGAGTGAACGACAAAAACTTGCCTGATGAACGGAAACGGGGTGGGGTCGGAGTCATCCTCGTCTGAACTGGAAATTTCTAAGGCACAAGGTTGTCAAAACGGATACTCGACGCAAGATGGCAATATTACATGAGGACGGGCAACCGCTGGCTGTCCCAAGCCTCATCTAGGCTAGTATGTAGAGGATGAAAGTGATTATTGCCTTGTTTGGTTCGGGCACCGACTATTGTTAGATGTGTAACTTTACCAATGCTCAAAAAATGTCCTCCACACTTTATCCTATCCTGCGAAACCGATGATATTCTTCCAATATTCAAGCTCCACAAAAATATTTCCCCCTTTCTGTTGCGCGTTCTAGACGCCTGCCATTATGTACTAGCAGTGCCATGGATATAAATAGCGGGCCACGTTTCTGCCAAGCCCAGTTTGCCGGCATTGACCCTTCGTCACGTGCTGCTGACGCAAAGCCGAAGCGTCCGGCCCGTTGACCTCCGCCTGCCTGGGAACATCAACGCCTCATCTTGGCCGACCAGATATATATATCTCTTTGAAGACCGCCTGTAGCGACTTGCTTTATACCCCAAATTTGGTCCTCGTAACCACGGCCGGTGTGAATTGGTCCCTCTCCTGGTATCGTTGCTTTCGTGAGTGAAGCTATCACGCTTTTGCGCGAATTCTTATCTTATCGCTCTTGTCCCGCCTCAACATTAGCCTCGGATTTGGTGCTGCTCGTTGGATGGAAACCACATACCATAATCCAATGAGAAATACTAGAGATCTCAATTCCTAGTCGTACTTCATACGCTTTGGCCACCAACGATGGGTGGTGCGCTCTCCACTGATGACGCGGAGCAGAGAGCTTCCTCAGGTTAGCCTCCTAATCCTTGTATGCTAGATTGCTCGCTATGCCTCCTAGTTCCTTATTCTCATGATTTTCTTTCAATCATTTTCTTCCACCCCTCCTTTTTTTTTGCCAATTTTATTTTTACGATGGCTGGAGTGGCCATTTTTAACAGCATATTAACATTTTGAAACCCGCTTTTATAGTGGAGGAGCTGAACCAACGCTTGGCTCACCGATTCGCAGCCAAATGCTTCGAACCGCTAGAACTGACCCATCTGAAAGAGAATTTCTTCTCTAGAGCTCTAGACCAGCATGGCATTCGTTATTGGAATGAAGAAATATTATCAGAGTTTTTGGGTATCCCCGACGGTGCGGGTTCGGCAGCCGCTGCAACCAGCGATGGGTCACTCGATGCAGGACCTGTCATCTTCCGTATGGTCTCCTATCTCGGCGCATTTCCATTTCAAAACACCATGGCGCCAACAGTATTGACGTTCGAGTCAATGGTAAAAGTGGTTGTGCTGCTTACTGAGAGATATGGGAAAGTCCTGAAGCGAGGGAAGAAGGATCGGATTAAACTACTTTTCGGTAGCCTCGCGGATGTTGGACGAAGGGATATTATTACGGTATTGAAAGAAGCCACAGAGGACTCGTTGGAATCGATTGGTCCCTCCGATCCTAGAAGTGCAAGTCCCGCCACTCATAATACAGGGTTCTTAGTGGATCAACCTGTTAACGATGAGGACGAGGAGGACGATGACGATCTAGCTATTGCAGCCCTGGAATCTCTTGATGCGATTGAAGTATTCAAACACGACCAACGCATCGACAAAACCGTCTACGAGTCGAAGATTTCACTTACTACCTTTCGACGACTTCTAACGTTACTTCTTGTTACGGCGCCACTGCGCCCGCTGGGAAGAGTGTCAAAGTTCACAACAGGATTGAGCAAACCTTCACTAGACGCTGTACACGAACAGGTGGACAGTATTCTTGCGGCGTTAGACCCTGGAGAAGCAAGCGATGGCATTGGATATAAATCGTTCTCCAAGCTGGTATCGACGTCACTCCCGTATCTTTTTGACCCCTTAACTCCCTTGTTTGAGCATCTACTTTTCAGCAAAAATCTCGATCTATCACGTAAACGTGACTCTCAAACTACCAATGGCCTGACGAGCAAGCCCGTCCCAACCCCTCCTTCAACCCCTCCACTCTCTCCTCCCTTATCGCCTGTCATTTCAACTGGAGGTTTCGACTCATGTATTCTAAATCCTGCCGTACTATCCCATCTCTCCTTTTTCGTTTCAACCAATGTTCACATACCAAATATATTCCGCAATCGCACTCACCTCCACCCAGTTTTTTCATCAACAGAACACGGTGAATCCTTAACATCCTTCTCCCACCACGTCATGACATGGCAGGCCCCGTCAATCCTGTTAGTCAGAGGAGCGGTGGTCTCCAAATCCAGCGAAGAACAATTGACCACGATCGGTGCTTACCTCCCGCAACCCTGGAAACAAACCTCGTCATATTCCTCACGCCGGTCATCAGAAGCTCCTGATCCATCAACCCTCCCTTGTCTCTTCGAGCTGTCTCCAGTCCACACCGTGCTCCAAGGCGCACCATCCTTCTCATCGTGTGGATTTTT